TGCAACCAGCCAATAAACTCACAGAGGAAGACACGACGTGAACGTGATGTAAATCTCAAACTTCATGAGTAGCCTCTTTTTAAAACATTGAGTCACTCTACCTGAAAATATGAATGTATAACATTAAGAAGATGAAGAATATTTAAATCCGTCGATTTAAATATTGAAATATATCATTTCGTCAAGCTTGTAGTTGGTTTAAGCATTGCTCCAAAAGTGTTTTGTTGCCGTCTTGCAGGTGCTGAGAAAACTGAAAGAAATCAGAGTAAGGGTATACATGTGCTTAAAAACATGATTACTGAGCGAAATTTCTGAGCTAAAGGATTTCTTGATTGAATTTCTAGACCTTGCTCTGATCTATGAAATTAGAGTAAGCTGTTTACATGACCACATGAATAATCAGATAACCGCAGAAATCCAATTATGAACGTATTATTAAGTGCATGTAAACATACCCAGTCTTCAGTTTAAATATAAGTTAATGCAAAGAGACATTATTCCAAGCAGTTTTGGGGCTTTTTTATTGGTCCATTCATCATGAAATTTTCACACAATGTAAAACAGCTGCTGTCTTCACATGATGTAGAAAAATAAAAACAATTCTTAAAAAAAAATGATGACAGAAGACTATCAAGACTACTTTTGAGCACTGTATATCAGACTTAAAGGTGCAGTTTCAAAAACAGCATAAAGGGAAGTTGGAAAACAGCCATAAAACCACACAAATGTCAAGTGGGCCTCGGGGGAAATAGTTTAAGACAAGAAAAATGGGCCATTTAAGAGTCTCTCTGAAAAAGATCTAGTGGACTACAGGCTATTAGATATAAAAGCATGGTAGGTAAGAAGTTCAATATGAGTGTTACTAGTATTCCCTTTAGGACAAACGTGGGTAAGTATGTTCCCACACAGTAGGACAAACATGGTTAATGTGTTCCGTCCTCAACAAAGGGCATAAAGCACATTATTGCGTGAAAACAATTGCACAATAAAATCACATTATTGGCTCTTCCCTGAATTGGAGACACAGACACCCCTTGCGGATGTACAGGGTCTCAAGGTCTGTGAGAGATGTAAAAGTCTGAGAGGGGGAATCGGTTAGATTGAAGGAAGTAGCAGCCAGCAGATGGCCGTCTGTAAACACCAGCGCCTCTGCACTCTGTCACTGCTGAGCTTTACCTCATCTGCTGCACAGAAAAGTCCAGAACTAACACATTAGGAGTCAAAGAGGAGAAAGGAAACACTTTTTTTAAGGTCTGTTAAATAATTGTTATATAAGGGGAGACGTGAATTTAAAAAAGGTGGGAATTTTCATTTTGGTCTCACTGCTCTTTTTCATGCAAAATGATGTTCTCACTGTGCTTGCTATTTTTTAATGTTATCAATATGATATCAGGAAATCTATGTTATGCACTCACTCTGCCGTGGCTGAAAGGACACAGTGCAGGCGTCCTGAACTCCTGAGCGGCATATTCAGTGTAGAGCATTCTGGAAATGTGGTTAGAGGTGCATGAAAAAGGCCCTGAAGCTTTTCTTGAGAGGCTTGGTGCAGCAAGGTGCGGTGAGGTGAACAGAAGCCATCTCTGCCCAGAAAACCGAATTACGTGTGTAATAGCGTTTGACTTGTAATCTCGATATCTGGGAGGGAAAAAAAAAGCAACTTTGCTGTCCATCAAGTTGCAATTACTTTAGAAGGGTATCATATTACTGTCCATCCACTTCACTGAATATTAAGAGACTTATATCACTTGAAATCGTGTTACATCCATTTGATTATCTATACGCTCTTCCAACATTGTTAGGTCTCAAGGTAGTGCTACTTCACAAGTGGATGGTTTGATAGTTAGAGCTGCTTGTGAGGTTGAATATTACACCACAAATGTGGATTTGTTTATTTAACTCAGTCATGGTCCAGGGCTCCTTTTTGTAGGCCATTTAACTGTCTGCAAAGTGGTCTTGTAAAAGTCCTCACTGACGTTTATTGCAGACTCATTTGGTAGTCCCCATCCTCCTTTGCTCACTGTTCAAAAGCAGTAATTCCCCAAATATTTGCTAAAGCTATTTACAGTGAAATCATTTAAAATATGAGAAATGGACTTGATGTGCATCATGTTTGAGATGAGAAGCATTAAAACAAAAATCTGTAGTTTATTATTATTTCTTTATGTAGGTACACTCTTAAAAAGATGGTTCTTCAAGGGTTCTATTTAGAACCATAAGTTCTGTACAGAACCATTACATGATTAAATGTTTTTTTGCATGGTAAAATTGTTATTCAGATTGATGGTGAATGTGTTGTATATGGATCTATATAGAACCATATAAAACACATTCTATATAGATTCTATATAGAACCATATACAGGACCAGTGGTTTTAATGGTTCGATGCAGAACCTTTACTTTTATTAAAGAACCCTTGAAAAAACATATTTTTTAAAGGTGTAGAAGAACTGTTTTTGGTGCTATATAGAGCCCTTTTTAAAGGGGTTCTATATAGAACCATAAACAACACATTCTCCCATGTTCTCCCATTTGAATGTAATGGAGTGGTTCTAAAGGTTCTATATATGAAATGGTTCTATAAAGAACTCATGGCTCTAAATAGAACCTTTCCTTTTGCTAAAGAACCATCATTTTTAAAAGTGTAGCCCCAAAGATTTCTTCTTTTTTCCATGCATTTGTGGAAATTCCACTGCCTTCCTGTGTATAGGTTACAGATTTTAAAAAAGCCAAATCTGCTGTGTCTAAAGGCTGTGCACTATTGTTTTTAACTCACTCAGTCTTCATTGTTGTTAATGTTCATTTAAGTGAGCACAGTTTAAGGAATTATTATCCAGAGTCTGGTTTGCCAAATGTGTCAGATGAAATGGTAACGTAATTATCACTTCAGTCACACTTTAAATGTTTTGTTATGCAATATTCTGTAGCTGGGTATTTTGTCCCTCAGCCTCATCACTTTGTCAGACATCACAATTTTATATTTTTTCTATGTTTTTGTTCATCTGTGTTCTCTCACTACAGTACTCAGCACGCATAATGCAAACACATCATGCAAACACTGGGAATCCCTGTGGTGCCAACAGTCCTGACTGCTAGCCTGCTAGCCTAACCACTGAGCCATAGGCTAATAAATACAACCAAGATAGCGTTAATGTAACTCGCACCTCAGTCGTTGAACAAAATCGGCTCAGCACAAAATGGACGCCAGAGACGAGTTCTTTACCCTTTCAGCCAGAGAAAAGCCAAATTAAGGTAATGTGTCTAGACAGCTCAGTTGGCTAGCTACCGTGCTAACTACAGCTTTTAGCCTCTCGATCGGACAAGTCGGCTGTCACTTAAGTAATCCATTCTCTCCATTGTAATGATGATTTGAAGACAGTTATCACAGTTATATGACTGCAATGGGAAATTTCCTTCCTTTGCTCACCTGCTAGCTAAAAAACAATCCATTTCAAAATCCATCCCAAAGTAGTTGCTTTCCCCCACCTTCAAGATACATCATAAAAAGGGGGTTTCCTAATTCTTAACCTGGGAAATCTCACTCTAGGGACCACTGCAGCGCCACTGTAGGAGGCAAGTAGGCATGTTTACAAAAGATGTGGAAAAGCTTTAATTTTAAATTTGGCCAAAGTGTCTGTTTAAGTTTGTTGGTCCCTTAACTTATCTACAAATTCTGATAATGATAAGAAACTATCCAGTGAAACTTCATCAAAAGAATTTTAACAGGGTTATGTTTAGATATAGGTTTAGATGTTAGTTTGAGGTTAAGGTTACACTCCAAATTTAACCCTTGTGTGGTTTTTGGGTCTGTGGGACCCACTGTCAATGTTTACCAAAAGAAAAAATGATGCAATTTTGCGATTTATTATTATTCTAACCCCAGATTCATTGGCTTTTGCTCATTTTCTGTGAAAAACATATAAAATAACATGTTTTCAATGACTTCACACTGTACAACCCCTACACATTTTTATTACACATGTGGTGTTGGGTGAACCCGCAGAGAATAAAAGTGTGGAGGTGCTGTGTCCCTTCACTCTGTTCTCCTCCTGCGTGGCTGCTGTTAGTGTGTGTGTGTATAAGTATGTATGTGTTTGTATATGTGTACATGTGTGTGTGAGGGTGGACAACATGGACAGGCTGCTGACTGGCTACGGCTGCTAAAGGAGAACTCTATGCTCGACACTTACTTGATATTATAACATTTGGTATTTTTAAATAAATTGTTATGGCTGTATCAAAAAAACAATAATGCGGTGGGTCCACCAGACCCACTGAGTAACAAAAACATGAACACCACACAAGGGTTAAAATAATAAAGGTGCCAAAAAGAGTTATTTTGATAGTCCTTTAAAATACTGTTTTTTGTAAATGAGATGTGTGAAATGAAGGAACTTTTTTAATGTTTAAGAACCTCCACATCATGTAGATTCTACAACATGTAGTGCTAGGATGAGTGTCAAGTTTAGGGTTAGGATGTGGTGAAATAAATAGCTGTTTAGCTGTATGTAGTTAAAACAATGTGAGCACCTCCAAAGCATCTAGGGTGGACCTTCAGAATGAATTGTTACCATCACTTTCAACACTCACTGTCTTTCCAATCACTGGAAGAGTTCTCAGGTATTCAAAATAGTTTTTTCTGTGGCATCACTCCAAAAAACTCTTTATTTTGCAAGAGTATTGCTCTCTAATAAGTAAGGTAATCTTAACACTACAATGGTCGTAGGAATGTGGACCTCAAGCTCCTGATCTGTGGTTTCTCAGAAAAGACTCGAGACGGTCACCAGACTTGACTTTTAAGAGTAAATGGACGGGACGTTCCCTGAAAGCACGCCTTAGGGCATCGGGAGCACGACACACCTGAGAGCGCCATGAAAATCAGGAGGTGTGTCTGCAGTCACCTGTTTCAAAGTCACTCGGGTCAGTGGGTTCTTCTTGAGTCTGATGCTGGTGAGGGCACACAGGGCGGGGGGGATTGGAGGGTTGCAGGGGGGGAGCCAAAGTCAGAGCTGAGGAAGGAGGAGAAATCAGTGGAGGTGGTGGAGCAGAGGGAGAGAGTGAGCTTGACAATTGAAGCGAGCATCAGGAGGGAGCGGGGATGGTAGAAGGCTGTTCTGATCCTCTCCGAAGCGTCGGCTTGTTCTCCTCTCGTCCTCAGGCAGGGGCTTAACAGCAGGGGGCGCAGGAAGCGGATCTGGCTCGGTATGTGGGATTACAAATCTCTGCCACCTCTCGGACTTCTGCAACGGAGCGCCGCAAGCCTGCACGACCAGCCATTCGTCCGCGAAGTAAGTGCATCTCTTTCTGGCTGTGAGACTGAGTTGTGAGAGATAGCTCAAGTATGGATGCCCAGGGAAAGTTTGGGATATGAGTTGGTGAAGTGAAAACAAAAAAAGTACAGCAAACTGCAGCCCAAATATGGTCAGCTTCTTTGGAAAGTATAACCTTATCATCAAAATGAGACTATTGTGTAGGAAAGAATGAAAATGAATTATGAATTAGAGACTCCAGGGTGTTCTGACAGTGAGTTTGAAAATAATTGGTGGAATAAATTCAATGTATATACATGTAGACAATATGTTTTTTATATAGACTTTGTTAGTGTCTGGAGATTATCATCAATAATACTCCAATACTCTTTTAACTATTTTAACTCATGCTATGATGTCCTCACACCCTGCGTACCTGTGAGAAGGTGGTGCAGGAAACCTAGTGAGAACATTCTCAATACATTTCCTAAACATTGCTGTGGCATCATCGCTTTTGATATGAAAAGTCTAGGAATAGTTGTTGGTGTAAAGAAGCATATAAAAAAGAATAATTATATTAAAAATAACTGTCTTAGTCATTGAGTTAGCAGGATGCTCTACATGCCTTTTACAAAATCTCTGCCTGATTAACACTACATTCTACGTGCTTTGCCTGCACTAATTAGAAGAAGCTCCTTTAGGAGAATCACTTAATCTGATATCTCAGCTTCTTTATGAGCTGTGCGGGTGCCGTTCATGTCAAAGTAAACTGTGCTTGTTAGAGTTTACTATAGCAATACTTCAAACAATTAGATCAAACAGCTTCCCTTGTCGTCATTCTCTGATATTCTGGCCAGCCATCTGTGAACGTCTGAAAATAAAGCGATCTAATTTTGGTAAGCTGGCAGAACTTCTTTGCCTTTTCTGCCTCATGTCAACCAAATTCACTGGGAATCTGATCCCTAAGCCCAGAGCTTTTTTGTGAAAGGTCATATTATTTACAAAAGTCCCAGGTGGATGACTATACATTATGTGTAAATCCGATGAAATTCATACATTATACATTAACATGCCATTTTTTTAAAAGGCTTTGTGGTCATTTTGGAAGACATGCAGCCTTTTGTCTGATTAGAATTTGGTGCGAACATGTAGGACTGGTGAGTTATAGCTGTCAAAGCGTGTGTTTTATAGGAAGGGCATTAATATTTCACAGGTTTCCTCAGTGGGGAAGCAGCAGACTGAGGGGCTCTGATCGCCTGTTAAAGGTCAAGGTTCTCTCTGCCACACCTTATTATCATTTTCATTAGAATAATACTTTTGCATCTTTTATGTTATTATTCAAGTCAAGTGCAAAAGAAAACAGAATGGGCTGGTATTCCTTTCCCCCAGATCTATGAGATAAAGATGTTGTAAAAGCTGTCGTAATGTAATAATGGCTAATCTTAGCATTGGGTTGTGCCTTGACTCATATTCAGCTGTTTCCTTTGCGTAAAGTGAAAATGTTCTCATATGTTTTTGAGCCTTATTGTTATAAAACATAAATAATTAATTTGCTGCACTCTGAAAAATGGCTCTTTAGTAAAGGCAATATTTCTATATAGAACCATGAGCTCTATATAGATCCTTTTCATGCTTAAATGGTTCCTTACATGGTGAAATTGTTCCTTAGGTTTGGTAGAGAATGGTTCTATATTGCAGAACCAGGTTCTATATCTTTGTCTACTGACCATCAGTCTGAATCCCAATCCTAGTCTGAATCCCATTTCACCATGCAAAGAGCCATTTAAGCATGAAATCGTTCTATAAAGAACTCATGGTTCTAAATAGAATCATTCCTTTTGCTAAAGAACCTCTGAAGAAGCATCTTTACTGATGGTGTACATTGAGTGTACATTACTTGTACTATACATTATCTGTCAAATGTGCTTTAGAAAGGAAAGCCTGTTGAGATGCTGTTCATATCTATCAAGCTTTAACTGCTTAGTAATTGTAGTCAGTGCTGGGATTCTCTCTGCACTTCAAATCAGCTCTTCAATGCATCTGTTTAAGTCCTTTATTTGCATTTTAATTCTCTGCAAGCCTCTCAGATCTTCACCGAGTGGCCTGCAGGTGACCAAAACAAATGGATTTTAAGTATTAGCGTCAAAGTCAAAGGTACACTGTCATAATAATTATGTATAGTTACTCTTACAGTGTAGATACACTGAAATACTGATACTATAATAGATGTTCTATAATAAGAAGGCATAATATAGAAGTATCAAATAATTTTGGTCACATCAAAGTTGCTCAAAAGGAGACTGAAGAGAGATTGATGCCGTGCGAAGCACAGGAGCAAAGTGCCTAATATTTTTCTTCGCTTGTAATTACTTTTTTCTCTGCTCTCTCTCGTACCCCCCTCCTTCTTTCTCACTAGATTAGGTGTCACAGTAATAGCGTCATCGGCTGCTGCTTGGTGAATAATCATGCCCGTAGACTGGAGGAGGCAAGGCAGCGCTGGAATTAAAACGTGTGAAGAACAAAGCGTGCAAAAGAAGAAGCAGGAAAGGCACAACCCCTAGAGAGAGGCCACTTCGAGTTTGGTGCCATGGATCACACAAGTCCAGGCAGCCTCCACAGATGAGAGGACTGCAATGCAACATGGAGGTTCTTATTGGCCTCTCTTCCCACCGCCGTCCTGTTTCAAGAAGCAAATCTCTCAGGACACTGTTTCGTAATCCTGAGCTGTCCTTATTGTAAGGTTTGACTGCTAAGAATGACAAGTGTGGCCTAAATGAGTGGTCCTCCCAACACTGTGAGCTGGGCGCACACTCAAATGCGGTATGCAGCGCTAGCAAAGCATGTGACTTATGATTCAGAGCATTCAGTTCAGAGACTCTGTCAGTATGGAAGAGCAGACCACCACTCTGATTCAGATTTATGGCAACAGCACCGAGCACTTAAATACGTCATTTGACTACAACTCAACAGATCTAAAGGAGAATTCAGACACTTATGAGTTTTATATCATTGGCCTTTTCCTCTCCTGCTTATATACCATCCTACTCTTCCCTATTGGTTTCATTGGAAACATCCTCATACTGGTGGTCAACCTGAACCACAGGGAGAAGATGACCATCCCTGACCTCTACTTCATTAACCTGGCAGTTGCAGATCTCATTTTAGTGGCTGATTCGCTCATCGAAGTCTTCAACCTGAATGAGAAGTACTATGACTATGCTGTCCTCTGCACCTTCATGTCTCTTTTCCTGCAGGTCAACATGTACAGCAGCATCTTCTTCCTGACGTGGATGAGCTTTGACCGCTACGTTGCTCTGGCCAACTCAATGAGCAGCAGACCCTTGCGCACAATGCAGCACGCCAAGCTCAGCTGCAGCCTCATCTGGATGGCCTCCATCCTGGCCACGCTCCTCCCCTTCACCATTGTGCAGACACAACATACGGGTGAGGTGCACTTCTGCTTCGCTAATGTCTTTGAGATCCAGTGGCTGGAGGTAACCATTGGCTTCCTGGTGCCCTTCTCCATCATCGGCCTGTGCTACTCCCTGATCGTGCGCATCCTTATGCGGGCTCAGAAGCACAGGGGCCTGTGGCCGCGGCGGCAGAAGGCTCTGCGGATGATCGTGGTGGTGGTGCTGGTGTTCTTCATCTGTTGGCTGCCTGAGAACGTCTTCATTAGCATCCAGCTGCTCCAGGGCACGGCTGACCCTTCGCAGCGCAGCGCCACCACCCTCTGGCATGACTACCCACTGACAGGGCATATTGTCAACTTGGCTGCCTTCTCTAACAGCTGCTTGAACCCCATCATCTACAGCTTCCTGGGAGAAACCTTCCGGGACAAGCTGCGGCTCTTTGTGAAGCAGAAGGCCAACTGGTCTGTGGTCTATCGCTTCTGCCACCACACTCTGGACCTCAACATCCCCGTCAGGAGTGAGTCTGAGGTGTAGGACTGAATAGAGTCCTGGAGGTGAAGAAACGATTGTCTTGAACTTCATCTGTTTTGAGATGTTGGAGATGTTCTTCAGTCAGAACTCCCTGAGCTTCTCAGAATGAAGTCACTCTGAAACCACATGTGCAACCAGGATAGGGTGGAGACATGTACCCACCAACTGACTTAGGAGTGCACAGCTCAGCTTACAAAAGCAAGAGCTGAAGAAGCACCATGTTTGGTTTATATCCAGCAGAGTGTAATCAATACTCAGTGGAATGAAAACAAGGATTATTCAGGGTAATTCTTTGCAAAGATGTTGATATAATGGATTAAATAGCAAAGAAACAATGACCTGTTTTTCTAAACGTAAACTTTATAGATATCGAAAACATATAATGTATCAAAGCGACGACTTTTATACTCCAGGATGACTGTGCTCAGTGAGCCCATGGTAAGGGAACAAATAAAAAAAGACATCAAAGGTCACGTAATGCATTTCTCCTCTGCCTCGTATGTAGTCCTGTCTTCAGGTAACTGTTGCATTATCCTCATCACATACACATCACATACACTGTAAAACTTATTCAGTGTTTTAACTGAAAAACATAAGTAACCTTTTTGCTTTAAAAAGTTCATTTAACTTTTAATAGTAAGCTAACAGAACAAAAATGTATGTTTTGCATTTTGTTAACTTATTATTGGTTCAATTAACCTTAGAACTGGATTTTATTACAACCATGTTACTTACACTGAATTATTTTCTACAGTGTAGCTCTTACATCACGTTACATTGGCATTTGGTAATGTTGCCACAAAATACTATGACTACCAGCCATCATTCATTTCTGGTCTGAAAAAATATATATTTTTTGTGAGATCATTTTTGGTTGAAAAAATGTTTTCTGACTAAAGCAAGTAAGGTAAAACAGAGAAAAACATGAGAACTGGCTAACTCTGCGTTCACCAGAATGTGTTGGAAATAATCTCCAACACTTGTTCGTTCACTTTGCAGTACTTTCCCACACTCTCAACTGTGAAAAAAAAAGAAAAAAAAGAAAAAGAAAAAATGTTTGAACCATCCAAGTTCATTTGAAGTTCACTGCCCACCTTAGTTCGACATGAGCAAAGCCTGCAAGTAAATTTGGGTTAAGCAAACCGCATTAGGAGGATTACAGCTCAGAGGTGTTATCGATTCTAACCGCAGGTGTTGGCTCCTGTTTATCGGAGTAGGGACAGGGGGCAGGTGGCTTGCGGAAGAAACGAAGCAATGTAAACACATTATTCGAGACTTCAGTAACCCACCTAACAGTACTCCATCAGTGGTGTTTATTCAGTCCAGTGCTCTCAGTCACGTCTCAGTTCCTTCACCTGTCTCATTCCGCTGACCTCTGACATTAACCAATAAGATATGTGACACTATAGTTTGAGCTTGGAGCTTAGTGGAACTGCGGAATCGCTTTACCAAGAATTTTAATTGACACCAAGTTACTACACTCTCAGAAATAAAGGTATAAAACTGTCACTGGGATGGTACTCTCAAAGGTACATCTCAGTACCTTTGTCAGGGAACATAATTGTACCATAATCCATTGAAATTATATGTTCTAAGTTGTATTGACTCCACACACCTCGTCTCATCTCCAGGCTTTTTATGTTATTGTTCTGTTTTAAAACATTAGTTTATGAAAAGGTTCATATATGTACTTTTCACTTGGGAAAAACTTATTTAAGGTACACAATTGGACCTCAAAACCACTGTTGTAGCTTTGAGGTGAATTTACATTGTACCTTGATGAATGAAAAATGTACCTGCACAGAACCTTTATTTCTAACAGTGTATAAATGTGGCAAACCTAAACATCTGGCAGGTGCAGGTTATTGTCTGTCAATTGTAATCAATCAATTATAATCAAGCATGCCTAGTTCTGATGGTCAAACTTTGGTTGGAAATAATCTCTGAAGGGCAGTAAATCTCCAGGATCAGCGTAGGCCATCTGATTTCAATTCATTTAAACATTTCCAGTTGTAGATGAACCTAGATTTTTCTCAATTTTGACAGGTAGCTTTCAATTTGTGCTTCTGTGGTTTAAGCCTATATACCTGCTCACATACCCGCACAGGAGTCACAGGGGGATAGTCCTATCGCAGTGGTGCTCAAACCAGTCCTCAGGGCCCCCAGACGCTCCACATTTTTACTCCAACCCAGCTCACAACACATAGGGATAAAGGAAAAATGTGGACCGTCTGGGGGGCCCTAAGGATGACTTTGAGAACCACTATGTTTCTCCGCGGTTAGCTGCTTAACCAGCAGACTGTACTCCAGAGATTTCCTGACTTATGGACTTGTGGAGACTATACTGTACCAGAATGGGATTTGAAAAACCCATGTTCTCCACCTCAGACATATATACATTGCGATGACCATCTAACTTGATGCCATACATAGCAGAAATGTACAGTGTGTTCTTTCCCATGAAAACCAGACTGGGAAAACAAATAAGAATGTAAGAAGTCATAAATAACCCGGGGGGTTCGTCTTATTTGTTTTAATGATGATTCCCATTCAGCTTCATCTCCACTCCTCACCCAAATAATCAAGTGCTACTGTATGCATCCAAGAATCTGGAGATAAAACAAAGTGTTTAGACATAAAAAGCTTTAGGACAGCTTGTAATATTATTAAAAAACCTTGCTTTTAATCATCATTAGAAATAACGTGTGTGGTCGAATTTCTATTAGCTCAGCCGCAAACACAAATAAATAGTCACTGAGATCAGATTACCACACTACAGTAGTGGACTGTTGAGGAAATTTGCGGTGCCAACTAGAACACTGTCTGACCCTGCTGTGGTTTGTATGTGAAAAAAAATATTTTATCTTGAATTGCACAATTTTTTCAGTTTGACCTAAACGTAGTCAAAACTAAATGTGTTGCATGTAACACAGTTGCCTATAACCACTACAAAAGTGACAAGCTTATTTGTATTTTTCTACTTCATAATTTCCCACGCTTTGTAATAATGACGTGAGAATGCTAATTGAGGATTTAATCCAATCTGTGTCTGATGAAGCATGTTTGGCGGTGGTGGTGTGTTGTGCTGCCCGTGTTTGGGGACAGAGCAATGGAACAAGCTGGTTTGGCCTGGTCTGGGAAAACATGACAAACAAGCCAAAAACAAAACACTGGCAAAGTGTCGGTTGTTTTTCCAGCTGTGACAATGGGAAATGGCCTGGGAAATGAGAGCCAACTACTGAATCATGATTTGCAAAGAAAGATAACATGTAAAATTATCATAACATAAGCACAATCAAAACCCCCAAAATTGACAGCTCACCCCTTTTGGAGGGCTGCGTATAGGAGACAGAGGTTCAGTAGCAATCAGGATGCACTGGGAACCGCCTGGAGATGCTGAGGATCAGTGACATTAGGACCATGACAGGAAGATGTGTAAGTGATAATCCAATGAAGAGCTGGACAGCCCATTAACAAAAACAAGTGGCGCCAGAAAAGACGGAGCCCAGAGCCCCCCTTGGTCCTTCCCGTGAGGAATAGCAAGTGGGACATGTTCATTACGTGTATGCGCAAAATAAATAGGCAGGATAACACATGGACTCTGAGAGACACAAAGAGCAAAGGGGGGTGGGGGCGAGGGCGAGGCCTAGACTGTGAGAAGTTTGTGACAGTAGGCCTGGAGATGCAGCTGAGACTTGAGAAAGGTTCAGAGTTGAAGGACTCTGACGTCACAGCTACTGGCACATAAGTTTCTTTCTATTTTTTCTATGCATGGCTTCCCTTCTGATGTGGTTAAATCAAAAGCTTTATCAAACTGTTCTTAAAAAAAGACATCCCTACCAGAGTCTATTTGATAAGAATAACATTCACATGCGTCAATGCAGCTTTCTCATGCGGGCAAAGTGCTAAGATTCCAATTTTCACATTCAAAATATTCTGTTCACTTGCCTTCGCAAAGACCCTGAGCTAGCTGTCTTTGCAAATTTATTCTAGGCTTGAAGTGCTAAGTAAATCACAAGCTGTAAGATGACAAACATCGGCTTTCCTTGCTTTTTTGTCATTTGTGCAGAACTGATTCTTATAACAGATGCTGAAATAATGGCTTCTGAAATGGATCTGCAAACCTGACAAACAGGACTTGGCTTTCAGATACATTAATGCATTAACAAAGGACATGGGCGCCCATGTCAAGGCTAATTAATGGACTGAGAGTTAATGCATAATCCTGGAGCTGTGCATTCAGGGGGAATTCAAGTCTGAATAATGGAGCTGAGCTGCAATTACATTTGCATATTAAAATCTTTACTGGAAAAAGAAAAGCGGAAGAAATTGGATTAGGTTTCATCAAGGGCAACAAGAGAGGTGGGAAATGGACCACAATCCATGCTATTTGAAGATTGCAGACAAGGGGTAGAAACAGCTCTAGTATATGCCTATTTTCGGTTCATAGAATGTACAAGAGCAGATAAGGAGTGGACAAGTAGCCAAACAATTTGGCAGCTGGTCAAAAATCAAAAATAAATAAATAAAAAATAAATAATAATAAAAAAAAAATAAATAACACACACCTCACCACCACACATTTCACATAATGACACCATGGGGGTGTTAATGAAACCAACTCATAGCGACACAAGAGGGCAGACTGCCACTCATGCAGATGTTGATATAATTCTGACCTCTAGTGGACGAACTACAGTTTGCAAGTGTATTTCCTCATACCCAAACCATGGCCATAAAAGTTCTATGAATTTTACCAACCAGTTCAACCTGCTGATTAAAATCACCTGATTACCAAAAACCTTGCACTTGCCCCACCATTTACTACCAAAAATAAACAGAGCAAATGCACAAATGTTTAGTTTGTCAGACTGCAATTGGCTAAATTTTACCAATTGTTAAGTGGTTTCAATTTGCAAGGTGAAGGACAGGTAAATCAGATTATTCTGAATCTTTCCATAATTCAAGTGTCTGAAAAGCTGTAAACAGCCAATGTAAAGTGTGCTATTCTACAGAAAATTATTGAACCTGAATTATTTACTGCAGTGGCAAAAGGAACAAGACAGCATTTAATTCTCTAAAAGCTATTTTGCATCAAGTTCTTACAAAATATCTAAATACTCTAAAGGCACTATTTTTACAAATCACTCTTATGCTGAACAGTAACCGTTCAATGGAAGAGTCAAAACAACTTCAGATGCAGTCAGAGAAGCACACATAACCAAAAGAACTCAAAGTAGCCATACTGAGGTAGTGAAATTTTATTAACAACCCAATAATCAATGTAAAAAGATAAATATTTTCAGCATGCAAACTAATGCTACTCTACAATGAGCAATGCTAACTACACATATTTTCCACCTGAACCTGAGTCTGTAGGGAATGTATTATAAAATTATGCCATCAGTTTTAAAATCCATTGCTTATAGAGTTTGGTTAACAAAAAGTTTAAAATAGAAGAAAAAAAAAAATTAAATTATGCACGTTCTCCTCGGATTCGCCTTGCAAGTTGGATGTCCTTTGGCATAATTGTGACCCTCTTGGCATGGATGGCACACAGATTGGTGTCCTCAAACAAACCAACGAGGTAAGCCTCACTTGCTTCCTGTTAAGATAAAAATTAAAAGTTAGGGAAGCCACTAGTGTTAACAGTTCGCATAGATAGGGAAATTAACTTTCAAACCAGTAATGTAAACCACAAGGTAACAGTAGAGGAAAAACTTGCCTGAAGAGCACCAATAGCTGCACTCTGAAACCTCAGGTCAGTCTTGAAATCTTGTGCAATTTCCCTCACCAGCCGCTGGAACGGCAGCTTGCGGATCAGCAACTCTGTAGACTTCTGGTAACGACGGATCTCTCTCAGAGCAACAGTTCCAGGTCTTTGGATAAAAAGAAATTAAAATATGAAGAAAGCTGCTAAAACAAAAAGAACATTGCAACCTTTAACGTTGCAAAAATGTGTCACTGTATTCATGTCCTGAGACTCACCTGTATCTATGAGGCTTCTTGACTCCTCCAGTAGAGGGCGCGCTTTTCCTTGCCGCCTTTGTGGCCAGCTGTTTTCTGGGAGCTTTCCCTCCAGTTGATTTACGCGCGGTCTGTTTGGTACGAGCCATGATTCCTCAGACGCTGGAAATTCTAAATAAATACAAGAAAAAAAAAAAAAGTTAGACTGAAAACAAAAATTTTATCCGGCCACTAAAACTCAAACGACTACAAAAGCCAACTGACTGTTATGCTAATCCCGATAAACTGGCGGTCAAACATTGTCACTTGTAAACAACCTGGCTCACCCATCAGTCTAACGATGTACTCGTTTTTTCGCTCATTCTCAGTTGAACGAACAGAAATACTGGCCTAAACAGGAGCTCAGCTAAAATTTCTGTATCGCAGACAAAATGGCGGCGCGTTTACTGCACTACAGCTTCCGGTCGAATCCATCACAACCGGCTACAAACCCTCCAGTGTGAGGGGCTTATTCTGGTAAAAACTACACCACATCACTGTATAAACATTTACGAAAGCTGGTGAGTCACTTATTTTAACCAGTAATGGCTGACGTTACATGAAAGCTAAAGCTATCCAGCTAACGTTACATCAGCTGTCAAATTTGATAGCAATGCTAACTTGTCTAAGAAGCCATCTAGCTAACATCAACATTTACGTAGGAGACAGCGTTAAAATATAAACACCAACCTGGCCACTAATGTGATTGTGTAATGTTACAAAAAAGGGCCACATGACCAGAAAAGAACGTCACGAAACTACCGATGACTGTTTTGTTCCTAGCTGGCTGTCCGGCTGGGTTTCCAGTTTAAGCTTGCTAAACGGTACTCATTGTCTAAAATGGCGGGCAAAGAAAAGAAAGGCACCACCGCGTCTTCTAACAGACCAACAAACACAGCGACCTGAAGAGAAAACCCACATCGACGGTTTAACTTCCTCCGATCCATAAGCAAGTGTGTCCGAAAAATGTCATCTTAAACTCAAAATCGAATTACAAAGCAGACAGCTAGTGTTAACCTACTTAGCTAAAACAATTAGCGAGTAATTTACATTATCACTGAAGTACGGATCAGTCTTTTACGACTGAAATACTCTCCTTTCACTGGACCTAAAACAAGCCTAACAGCAATCAGTTAAAGACAATTCAAACCAACGGCAGTAACGTTCGGTTTACTGACTTAAATTCTCAAACTGGTAGGTTACATTACCTCAGATCTTCCGCTCTGGATATCCAAATATGTTTGAACGTAACGGGGCGGCGTTTCGGCTATTTATAGTGTTCTTGGGTTGCTGCCACACACCAGCACCACGTGACCTAAGAGGCTCCTCCCATGCATGTTACTGCTGCTTTACAGTGCTTCACATTATCCAGATTTAAACTAATCCACATTCACATACCAGGTGCTCGATATGGATTTTAATGGTTTATCGTTTGGGTATGATCTGTTGAAAATATAGACCCTAGTATCGTAAGCGGAACCAAAGAAAGTGGGTATATGGTAGTCCGTATGATCAGCTGCTTTGACTCTTGAAAAGGATTTTGCTTGGTGTGCGATATATGAAGAATTTTGCTTTTTTCATGATACACGTTGTTGGGAATGCACTTTACACATAAATATAGATTATATGATTAATGCCACCTTTTTCAGAGAAAACGTGCATTCAAAATGGTTAAAATAGATGTACAGCATTTTGAGTGAAACTTTGTAAATGTGTAAATTTATATATATATATATATATATATATATATATATATATATATATATACCTGCGATGGACTGGCGACCTGTCCAGGGTGTATCCTGCCTTCCGCCCGATGACAGCTGGGATAGGCTCCAGCACGCCACCGCGACCCAGAAGGATAAGCGGTTTAGATGATGGATGGATGGATGGATATATATATATATATATATATATATATATATATATATATATATATATATAAGGTATACCTACATACACTGAGGTCGCCATCATTAACCACCAGTACGCTTTCCACTGGAAATAACCGTGCAGGAATAAAATGACTGCAACACACAATAACACAGAATAACAACCACAAAGAGTGACTTATGAAATCTCAATACTTTAAAGGGGAATTCCACCAAATTTTCTGAATAATTCCGTTGAGACGTAAACAGTCATTCAAAGTGGTTTACTGTAGAGAAACTTACAGACTCTATACAGTGGTGGTGATAGGAACTAGGGATCTCAGTGTCTACAACACAAATATAGCCATTTTATTTACTATCCTAAACGACCAGTGAACTTACATGTGTCTTTTAAGTTTATATGTGTAGTGTTAATAATGTTTAAATAGTCATAATTCTGAAAAAATAAGTTTTTGGGGGACTATTTTGCCTCACAACGCCCTGTGTGTACCCCTCCGCCATGAATGAATTAAAATCGATTGATTCAAATACATTTTGAGCAAAAACTTTATCATAAAACTATCATAAACAATGTTGTCAGCGATCAGGCAGTAGTTAACCATGTCATGTAATAGCTTTCTGTGAGGGAGCTTTTAGAGATGCCGTCTGGTTCCTGTCACCACTGCGAACAGTTCTGTAGAACAAAGCATCTCACACCAAACCACTCAGACTTTGTTTACATCTCAACCGTTTAATTATGTAGGACGAAAAAGAGGTGGAATTGCCCTTTAAGAAAAAAAAAAGAAAAACATGCTATTTTTCTTTATATTGGCCTGTGGTGTTTGAACTAAGTACTAACTTATTTGCTTATTTTCCATATTTTTCAGCCTGCCTCGCTCGCCTGGTGGTTTTCATGTGTTGTGCACCGTGCTCGGCGTGCTCAGCGTGGCCGTGTTCGAGTGTCCCGCCAGTTGCTGATATTGGCCTGGCAGCGGCGTGCGAGAGCGCGAGGAGAAGAGAGGGCCCCCGCGCAGGCGCGCTTATTGTTTTGACTGAAAATGCCGTCGGTTTCGAAAACGGCGGCGAGCGCTTCTCCTCAAACCGAGAAACCAACCCACTATACGTAAGTAAAGTGAGCAGTAAAGGTACCAAAACGTGTTTTTATTGAAGTGTGGTGCTTATTTGATATTGTGCCGTCTGATAGGTGTTTGCAGTGCTTGGTATTTCCACGTCCTCCGTGCGTTTAAATATGGTGCTTTTCCCTTTTGTAAATTCTTCCGAATGCACGTAGCTCGCCAGTTTTAATGTGAGGGGGAAGAAAATCACACACCGAGTCTCCTTCTGCTACCTATACCGTCGTGATGTGTTGGCAGCTTTGTTGAGCCAAAGACTAGAAACTTAAAGACGAAATCCTGCTGCTTGTCCAGAGCTCGCTGCTGGAGAGCGAGAGACTCGGTTCTGCCAGCTAGAGCAGACAGTCGAGAAGCTCGCTCGCTAGATGTAGCTAACAGGCTGATTCGTTAGCTTGCGTTCTCTCCTTCCTCTGCCTCGGCCTGAATCGCTGCCACTACGCTGCTTACTTGGCGTACGCTGTCATTGGCTGACTGGAGCGGGCGTCGAAGATTGTGCGTAAGTTTTGTTGATAATCGCGAAATGCCTCCGCAAGCTTGATAGTTTGTTATTCGGGACCCCATGTTAAATAGCCAAGCAGAGCCACACATTAGTCGGTGTTTGTGCCGTAAAACTAGTTGACTGGCCCTTCCGTTTGTGTTTTTTGGTCACTAGTTATACATTTCTGCACATTTTGATGGCGTTTGAAGACGTGCGCCCCGTTTTAAAGGTGTCTTTCGCGCTAGTTTGTTGTTCCGCGATAGCATGCGCGGACTGTAAAGTAGGTTAGTTACAGCTCAGCTCATAAGTTAGTTTTAAGATGTTCTGATATAAAAGATGGTATAAGTGACTGTGCTAGTTTGTACAGTCGCTCGAGCCGTTGGCGCCAAGGCGAAGCGCACGCTGGCTGTAGCGTTACGGCTGCATGTCGTGTACTTAAACTTGACCTGCCTTTTTTCCCTCCTCTCGCAGATATTTGAAGGAATTCAGGACCGAGCAGTGCCCGCTGTTTCTGCAGCACAAATGCACGCAGCATAGACCCTTTACGTGCTTTCATTGGCATTTCCTAAACCAGCGAAGACGGAGGCCGATCAGAAGAAGGGATGGGACTTTTAACTACAGCCCCGATGTGTACTGCACGAAGTACGACGAAACAACAGGCATATGTCCCGACGGAGACGAGTAAGTGGCTTCAGTTCTTCACTAATGCGCGCACTTCTGCACGCAGAGGGTCGGTGGTAACCTACGTGCAGACACCAGTGATGCTCACTTCTTAATCTCGAATGTAACACTTAGTGAGTTTGCGAATTAATGCTGGTTACGTTTTTAAAAATATGCTGCAAGCTACCACGTCAGCTGTTCTATCATTGGTGCACATATCCTTCGAAGCAAAATCGCTCGCACAGATGACGCTTATTTCTTGCAATACTTGCAGATGTGTTCAGTGGATGAATAATATGCTTTGATTACTGCATGTATAGTATTAGTGTCGTACTAAACCGTTTGCACGCGTTCCTGTTGTTGACTTGTCTATTGTTCTGAGGGAGCTTTAGCACACGCCCCTTCCATGAAGTGAGGAGGAAGCACAGCACTGCAGCGCCTTCGCCGTTAGCACTGTAGGCGAATTTGAAGTGCGGCGCTCTAACGACAATAATCGGTGGCTTTCTTTAAAAAATATGGTTTCGCTTGTTGATTTCACTGACATCTGCAAAGCACGCGTGCTCCTTTCTTTCGCTTGAGCCAGCGCCGTCAATACGTTCGTTTCGAGGCTCTGTGCGCTCAGTGGTTCATGCAGAAAGCGCGTTTGTGCGAGTTGCTAATCGAAACTAATCCTGCCTTTGTAAAATGAAGGCCAGTCGGTTTCAGATCTGTGTGGTCGTTTCTCCAGTTTGAGTGCGAATGGCCGCTGCCTCCTTCAGCCACCCCCCCTCCCTTTCGGGGAAGTGGAGAACACGCCCCCCGCTTCCTGGCTTCTGATTGGCTCCCTCCTGCACGTAGGCATTTCTCATTGGTTCGCAGCGGACGTGTTTACTACTTGGTGTGTTTTCAGGTTTACTGAGCGCGCTGGAGTCGAAGCCGCCTCTGTATACTCACATTTTATACATATGTTGATAATAATTTGGTGTTGTTTTATAGATTTTATGTCACTGAATTCAGTCAAACTTGAAATTCTGTTAAATACAGCAACGCCATTAAGAATTCGCTTCTACCTTCGTTTATAAGCTTTTATTTTATTTTTCAATCATGAGAAGCTCACTGTTAATTCTATAGACTGTAATTGGAGTTATGCAAGAGGAAGCCCTGTCTAATTCTGTGGTGTGGAATAAGCATTATGCCGTGAGAAGAGTTATGTCTGTTGGGGGTTTGAGAGGACTATTTTGGTAAAATAAAAGTACGTCATTTGCATCCACAGAAGCAAGAAAGTCTGCTTTCTGGTCCTGTTGTAAAGCAATGTGGTAGTTATCTGATTTAAGAATATTTTGGTAGCTGTTAGGACTTTGAGATTTTAAAATACATTTTATATAACTGGCTAAATATGCTGTGTTTGCACTAAAAGTTATTCTCATTAAGATTCTGGATTATTGTTTTTCATGCCTTTTTTAAGGATTAATTACTTTTGCACATCAATTATGATTAGAAAATGAAGCTGTAATAGTTTGACAGTGATGGGAAGAGTCTGAATTCCTCCCAGCATCACTCTAACTGCTCTTGCACGTTCATTCATCCAGTAGAAGCTGTCCTGTCATGACATCACAGCCATTGCCATGGCAACTGTTGCTACCTGAGCAAGATGCAGTTGCTATATTTGAGATGATTTTTGGATATTTAGCATTTTCAATATCAGACTGTGACCTGCCAGCATGTGATTTATTACCTCGTCCCATTTTTACTATAAAGTCTGTTTTCTGAATTTTTCTTTGGTGCATTTCTTAATATGACTTGCATCCTATGTGCCTTCATATAATCCCCCCTTTTTGTTTGGGCAGATTGTTCTAAGTAGGATGGTCAGTGATTACATGCACAAGTATATATTTATGAGGCAGTTTTTATATATTTGTGAGACAGGCAGTATTTATTAGCAGATCACAGTTGTTCAATTTCAGTTGTAGTATTGGGCTTTGGGTAGGTTACATATCCAACAAGTTGTGATTTCCTGAAAATTTGCTGTGTATGACAGTACTAAGTGTGTAAAAACACCTTCAGAGAGAGAGAGAGAGAATCTGAAAGTTATAGGTTGCGTCTTTGATCTCCTGTTGCGGACCACATTGCTTTCAGAGCACCGGACGTCTTTCAGTGTTTTGCACTTTCTAGTCAAATATCAATTCCTAAAAGGAAAAATCTTAAACTGTGGGGATAATCTCTAAAGAGACATTTTTGTAAATCACAATGTCCATCTGTGTATAGGCTACTCATGTATGAAATGTTAGCTGATCAGCTAGCCAACTGGGGTGCTACAGATATGTCAAAACAACGGTTTTAGCAACCATTAAAAGAGAAACACATAATTTTATTTTTTCCTTTGAAATGGGTAAAATCTGATACTCTCTTTGTTTTCTATCGTAATTCACAAGTACCAAACAAACAGAAGTGGTTTGTTAAGGACTTTTGTAGCTCATAATGCTGTAGGTACAGGTATATAAAATAGCTTGCTGCAGTTCCATCTACAAATATAGTAAAAAATAAGAAATACTGTAGATGGAAAGGGAGCCCCTTGTGCAAGCTGAGCTGATATTCCTTCTTAGTCACACAGTCTCACTGTTTTTTCATTACAAAAATATTGCATTATAACCATGTAGATAATTACTTTGTAGATTCCAACCAGTTTTAGTAAACGGGTGAATTTAGATGCAGTACAGAGATGAGTAAAGTGTATTCTTGTTTTGATAGCTGCCAAATGCCGTGTGTGTTATGATCTGTGTAATCAGCAGTTTTTCCCCTCTGCTTTCTGTGCCAAACAGAAAACAGAGGCTGAAGCAGGAAAAAAGACAGCATTCATTACTTACACTACTGTTCAAAAGTTTGGAATCAGTGTTTTCAGTAGTATAAAACTAATTTGGTCACAGACAAGTGAATACACTGATTCTTATACCCTAGTTTTTGTACAGCTTCACAGGTTTCAGATAACTAGTAGAACATTAGGAAACTGTAAATAAAAATTTGAAGAATTTTATTTGTGTCCATAATGATGTTGAACAGAGCTGGTGAAGATTCTACAATGACTGAAAACCCTTTGGAGCATTGAAAATTAAGTTACAATAAAGGTAATATCCAGGATTCAGTGTATTTCAGTAGTCGTGATCAAATCTTAAGGCAGATAATTTGACAAAAAATAATGTAAATTACAGTGTGTTATTTACCATTTAACAACTAATTTTTCACACAATCCTTGAAATATTGAAAAAAATCTAAAAATACCTGTTGATGAGTGTTGTGTATATGAAAATGTTAATTATTGCAAGTAATTTCAAAACTTCTGAATGATAGTATTGATAGTTTGAGTCTTGTAATTTTGTCCTTTCAGAGTAGACTAAAACATCTCTATAGGTACTGTATTAATGCAAGGTGCTGAAATAGTTTTAAGACTAATGTGTTTGTATGCCAACTTGCCATATATCTGTGGATGATCACAATCCATTTTTACTGGAACAGTGTATTTTAAAGTATTTTTTGTACTTGAAACAAAAAAGTAGTGAGCCTGCTGCTTCCCATAACCCGAAGGAACGGGTTGGAGATGGGTTTAATTCATACCAAATGTCCTGTAGTGACGAAGTTCTGTTAAAGTGTTTGCCAAACAACGTAACGGTAGATTTTTTAGGAGAAACATCTTGATTTGCTTCAAGGTTCCTAAATTCATCCCTATTTGGGAACACAGATGGACATATTACATTTACACTGACCAAAAAAAAAGTATGCACTAACAAAATGCTGAACCACTGTAGCTTGTTTATTGTTATAGGCTAATGTTCACCTATAGTGAAGCTGTCATTTACCTGTGGCATTTCACACTCTCTATTTTTGTGGGGCTAAAACCAACACTTGCATACATTAACACATTGAGTGTGAATTGCCCCTCTAACAGACACATCTTAGAGTATGAACTGCTCAACGACTTGACAGTTTAGGTGCTCGTTAACTGTGAATTGGGAATGTGTAGTCCAAATATCGGCAAAGCTGAACTCAATTGTCTTTGTCAGTTATGTGGCTGTTTTGCTGGAGATGGGCTGTTCTACTGTATTACACTTAACACTTGGGCTGCACAATATGTCATTTATAAAATTAATTGTTGTTGTAGTATTGGCCTTCACAATACTGATCTTGCAGAAGGATAAAATGTGCAATATGCTGTCAAACAAATTGCAAAATAGTTTGAGTGCTGTGAACAATCACTAATGTTCCAGACAAGTGTTTAGTGGGAGTTTTGGTGAATCATGGCATTCATGTGATTCAACAAAAATAATTTTAAGCCAAAATAGTTTAGGCCAGTCTTTGAGCATGTAACACACCAGTTTACCAAAGTTTGTAATGTACTCCAAATCATTTTCAGTACAGTTGTTATAGGGATACTTTGTCCATATCATGATCAATATTAGAATTAGAATTGTTTATTTACCAAAAACCAGGCAACTTTTAGTTGGATACTAAGATAAATACAAAAATTAAATACATAAATTAATTTATTCATGTAATAACTGATGTCCTAATGAATTCCTCTCTCTTCATGCTCTTAGCTGCCCTTACTTGCACCGGACCACTGGTGACACAGAGCGCAAGTACCACTTGCGCTACTATAAGACTGGCACCTGCATCCATGAGACAGATGCCCGGGGGCACTGTGTGAAAAACGGCCTCCACTGCGCCTTTGCTCATGGCCCCCATGACCTCCGGCCGCCAGTCTATGACATTAGGTAAGTGAAATGACTGCGCTGTTCACATGTTCACAAACCTGAGGATGTTTTGAAAAAGGTAGAGTGTTGATTGGTGGCAGCACCAGGAAGAAGGTTGCATTTGCTTTCACTTTGCGGAATTGAAATGGTGAAATTCCTGTTTCTGTGGAGGCAGGGGATTTCTGCGGCTGCTTCTTCTATCATGTGATTTAATGCTCTGCACACAGAGCGGACGTGTGCATTGTTTTGCTATGGCGTTTGCAACTGCTCGGTAAATCCCTCCAGGCCTGACAAAAAAAGTTTTGCTGTCAGTTGGCTCTTAGGTTATGCTTTGATCTGGTGTGTGACTGTGACAAACCACAGATTGCAAAATGTGACTGTGCTTTTCATAACTTGCTTTGATTTTAAAAATGCAAACCTGCACTTAACCCCATTTTTGAAACTCTGAGACCTCGAGACCTCTGTCACTGGGCCAGCTGTTCCAGTCATGCGTGTAAATATGACATGCAACATTCTGTAGAATGCTTAGATTCACAGAGAATGAGGCTCGCTGGTTGAGTAACAGAAAATATGAAGACATAGATATGCGCTCTCGGCAGTTGCCTAGCAACTGGTATGTGGAAATCACTGCTGCATCCTTGTTTGAGGTTTCGCATCTAGAGCTCAGAGTTGCTGGTTCTGAAGGCTCTCAAAGCTGATCTGACTTACTTAAGCTTCTTCACAGAGAGATCCAAGCACAGGAGGCTTTGCAGAACGGCCAGTTAGGCTCTGGAGAGGGGATCCCGGATCTACAGCCAGGAGTTCTGGCCAGCCAGGCCATGATCGAGAAGACACTTATTGAGGACCCACGTTGGCAGGGTGAGCCCTAGTAACTCTTCACCTCCTACGTGTACTTGGCCAAAGAGACAAAAGCCTGACGTGCGTAAACAGGCAAATATGAAGGCTGCACAAAGCACATTTTTGTAATCAGAGACATTTGTTTACCCCCCAACCCCCACCCAACCCTCTTTTTTTTCCAGACACCAATTTTGTTTTGGCCAACTACAAAACAGAGCAATGCACCAAGCCACCGCGTCTATGCAGACAAGGCTACGCCTGCCCCCATTACCATAACAGTCGAGATAGAAGAAGAAATCCCCGCAAGTTCAAATACAGGTAAGACCAGGATGCTGCTGTGAAGAGAGTAGTAATACTGGGTGGTACTGGTAATGTTTAATTTGACAAGATTTTCCAAATGTATCACACCATCATTCTTATTTATTTATTAAACTGTTACTTTAAAAGCAGCCAGAAATTGAGAAACATTACAGTTAATTGTAATGTACTAGATACAAAGAGCAAAGTGCACAATGTAGTAAAAAAAAAAAAAAACTAAACACACTGCTTGGCTACAAGGATGGTACTGTTTTATGAAATATGATGTTATGGATATAATGCTTGTTGTAAAACGGATAACTCTGGTCCTAAAATCTGATTGGCTGAGCTGTGTTCAAAGCCACTATAAAATGCATGACATATGCACACTTATGACCTCCTGTATTAATGTGATGTCACTAAAAACTATTGTGCTGTTAATAAAGGCTGTGCATGTTAATAGATGAAGTAAAAACATTATGTATGTATTTATTTATTTATTTATTTATTTTTTTTTTTAAACTGAAGGACTGACAGCTACAACTGGGCTACAGTGTAACTGGTTAAACAGGCTAAAAGGCAGCTAACAGGCTTTTCTAGCAAGATATGCTATGAAGTTATAAAATAAAAAAAGTATAGAATAGGTCACTTGATTGTTTTATGCCCTTCAAACATCTGTTTTTGGTACATATGGCAAAAGTATTATTAAACCCAGTGAAAACAAATGTGTTGTACCTTTAGCTTGATGCTAACACGGTGCAGGAAATTGTATTGAGATGTTACTACTTACTAGAGCTGGGCGATATGGCCTAAAATGTTATCACGATAAATAAAGTTCATATCGTTCGATATCGATACATACCGCCATAAATGTCAGTTCATTATTTCTTTCAAGTTTGAAGGCTAATTTTTGTCCTGCGGGGGTTAATTGCTGTTTTAAACTATCCTTTATGGTCAGAACACGACAAACACTCGCCAAACAGTGGAACAATTCACAAATCTGTCATGGGAGAGTGGGAGAGAGTGTCTGGTGAGCTGTTTTTACCAGCTGGAAAAATTTTTGTAATAATCATACTTTAAGAAAGAAAACAGATTATTTTTAGCTGGTGACGAGCGCTCGGCTACCCCGTTAGAAATGACATCACAGTATTTAAACACCAGCTAGCGATGACTGGATTTCTCTATACTATCGTAGTAGTTTAAGGGGTGAACCACAAAATATCAACACCAGACAAACAGAGTCGTCCTTTTAGGTACGTTTAAACTGAAAGCGGTGCTTTTGTGTCGTGTTTGATCTACAGTATCATCAGTTCGCCGTGTTGTGCGAGTGACAGAGCGCTGCTTCAAGTTAGCCAGCTGCTAAAAACAGCTAGCCTGGAAAGCGCTCTCCTGCTCTCCAATGCCTCACAGCGTCCTCAGTTTACTTTCGTTTAATTCAGGGCTGTAACTAACATAACCCACATCTTTCTTTCACTTTCGTTGCTTGGGAATGCACTAATACTAAAATATGACTGAGCGCTGTAACAGCGCTGTAGTTGTGAGGATTGTGATTGTGATTTAACGCTGCTACAGCTGGTTAGGATGTTAGGAAAGAGGTGAGTTCACTGTAGGACAGTACAGTTACACCAAAGACCTCGTCACTCATTGGTCACAGGAGAACAGATCGCCGGTTGCTCCACTCAGACAGGGAATGTATAACTCCGAGTTTCAGCCGTTGCTGAAGACTCATCTTACTCGTGGCCCCCTCCCTCTCTAAAGATGTAGAAAAACTCGGAAGTGCACCCTCTCCTGGCAACAGCACAGTAGGGTTGCTTTCCTTGCAGTAGAAAACGCCACCAAGGCTTTCGCTAGAACGTGGAAGTGTGAGAATGGTGTATTATATCGAACATTTATTGAACATGTTATATCGCTCTATCGAGGAAAAGTTATATCGCGATAAGTATCGTTATCGTTTTATCGCCCAGCCCTACTACTTACACGGCAAAAGTTTCTGCATCAAAAGTTTCGTTATTATATGACAAATTAAAGTTCATGAAATGACTAATCAAAATGTACAATGATAGGCTACGGCAAGTTCTTGTCTTCCTTCAGCAGTCCATTGTTGGTTGGCAACAATAGCATACTCTAACTATATTTCTTAGTGGAATAATTGTTTCCATGATTATTGAAGCTATAATTAATAATAATTTATTGAAAATATGTGCATTTGATCTTATTTTATGATGTTGTATTGCATTGTCTAAGAAAATCATGATAAATTCACAATATAGCACAGCCTCTCATGGCTTATTGCTTTATCTGTCAGTGTCTCTAAAACAGTCTGTATCACCAATACTGGTATTATGTTATAGATGATATATTACCTATCACAAGGAGGTAGTGCGCCCAAATGAAAAGGGGAAGAAAAAGATTTGATTTAATGTGTGAAGGTGGTCTTAGTGGCTGTGATCTTTGACAGGTCAACTCCATGTCCGAGTGTAAAGCATGGTGATGAATGGGGAGAACCGTCAAAGTGTGAGAGCGGGGATAGCTGTCAGTACTGCCACTCTCGCACTGAGCAGCAGTTTCACCCAGAGGTGAGGAAAGGGTGATCTGTCTTTTTCAAAGTGTAATATGTGAAGGATTATCTCTAACTAGAGCCTTTACCAGTGGGTGTCATTTAACCAAAGCCTAAATCTCTTTGCAGATATACAAGTCTACAAAATGCAACGACATGAGGCAAACTGGATATTGTCCGAGGGGGCCATTTTGTGCTTTTGCACATGTAGAAAGTAAGTGTTTTGGTAAAGCATGTCTGTGCAGGGACTAGCTAAAAATGTACTCCAGCATATGTCAAGGTAATCTCTGTCTGTTGCATCTGTAGAATACAGTTGATTAACACAGACAAGAACAGCCCTCCCTTTTTCCTCTGTAAAAGGAAGAAAACTTGTCAACTCAAGACACACTTCTACTGAACAAAAATATAAATGTAAGCCTTTTGGCTTTGCTCTCATTTAGCAATTTTGATTTAAAAAAAAAAAAAAAAATTCTTTAATTTTTTTCTAGAGATGTCGCACTATTACAGGCAAATACTAACTACTAATGTGAGTTTAACTAACTGTTTCATGACCCACTTTGTTGTTTTAAGAATTCAGTAAAATCTTTCCAGTAAAAAGTGTTGTGTTTATATTTTTGTTCATTATATAATAGAAGTTAATGGACAGTTGCTTTAACATGACAAAATGATTGTCCATGGTAGTTATCCATATGACACTTATAGCGCAGACATAGGTTGTGGAAAAATGCTGGAGTATGCCTTTAAGAATTTATGTAAAGGTTATGTATAGTATTGTGTTTTAATTTAAATAATGGGAGTTTGTGTTTTGTTACTCAGGGATTCCATCTACAGATGAGACCATGAGCACTCTGCTCACAGCGATGCAGTCTGGCTCTCAGGCCAAGCTGGGCTCCCAGCAGTATCCCGAGTGTCCCATCAGTGAGTTGGGTGGCACCACAAATTCCATCACCAGCAACGTGAGCAACAACGGCCAAGCAGCAAACGTATGTGTTCTCCTGCCTGTGCACACCTAGTGCACTAAGGGAAAGGAGGCATTTAGCCATATAGCCATAGCAGGTTAACTCAGTTTTTTCCACCCACTGTGCTGCATATTTTGGTGTTTTTGGAGTTAATTAAGAGCTATTTCTGTGGAGAATTCGCTGTATTGGAGCAGGAAATCACTAAAATGTGCAGGACAGAGTTCCTCCTGGAACCAGGGTTGGGAACAACTGGGTTAACTCAATACACTGCAGTTGCTGCAACAGCTCTTTTCTTATTATTTTAGTGGTGTTTGGTTCTATCAAGTTATGTTTCTGTTGGTTTTATTTGCAGTTCATTTTGTTTGTTGCAGTCTGTGTTTGAAAGGGGAGAGTTGTACAATGTGGGAGAGCATGTACATTTAATTTGATCAGATTGAGCTCCCAAAGCACAGCCAGCACTCCCTTTAGCCAGTAAAGAGAGACAAAGGCTATGCACATTCGGCTATTTAGCCACTTTCGAAAGCCCTCCATTAAGCTCCTTTGTGCTTCTCTCCTTCAGGTGTCATGCTCTAATAGTCCAACTGTAACGCCAAGCTCAGGAAGCACCAGTTCATTGTCCCCAATTGGACCCATCGGCAGGCCCAAAAGCTTTACTAATGGTAGCTTATGTTCAGAGTCCACCACGTCCAGTGTTTCCTCTCCGACGTCTAACTATCCCAAAGCTCCGGGCTTTGAACGCGAGGATCAGGTATTCCACGAATCGCTTCTCTTTCCGCTCTCTGAAAAGGCCTTTCCTCCAGGTCTGCAGGCGTGCCTGCATAGGGCATGACACATGCTGCAAGCCCTTCTGTCCTCTTTGAGTTTTGGTTCCTTCAGTTATTTATTGCCCATTTACTTATTTATTTACTTATGTTTTTCATTTGTTTGTGTGGTGACACAAAACAATGTGTTAGTGCTTTAGTTTTATGTTGCTTTTTAACCATTGCTGAAATTTTTGACTGTCAACAGTTGGGGGTATGCACTCAAATTTTGTCAAGCTAAATTAGACGATGAAATGCATTCTTCATGCAGCAAATGTAACAACAGTTTAAGGTCATAGAGTATATTATTTCTTAACATAATTATGGCAAGTATGATGACTGCTTTCATATTTCATCTTACATTTCTGTAAAAATTATAAGCACACCTGGAACACATTAGTGTTTTATCCAATCCAAGAGTTTGCACTGATAAGACAGTGAGGTGTTCAACTTAATAATAGTGTATTTCTTCATTATGTATGAACATATTTCCTCATTAATTTGTCTTCATGTTCCTCAGTAAATAGTGGCACTCAGTTTACAATGGCTGCTTTAGTTGCATGAGATCAAGTGATGGGATGTGCTATCTGATTTTAGGCAAAGAACCAGAAAGGCCTGTCTGGAGACAATAGTCAAAAGTTAATGGACCAAGACAAACAGGTAAATACCCATAGTCCTTGAGTCTTACATTTTATACAGATGGCAAATAACAGCTCATTTAAACAGCAGGTTTTCAGCAGTACTTATTATCAACGCAAGTTCAGTGAGGTAAAACTGCGTGCAGAGAATGGTAAACTCATGTTAAATGCCTTCTGACACAGGTTTGGATTTGTAAATATGACTCTACTTGCTTCTGTCTACAGAGCCACAGTGGCATGTTCTCTGTGGTGAACCCACTCGCGTCCAGCATAACATCGAGCATCACCTCAAGCTTGGCCTCCAGCATCGGCTCTGACAGCTCTTCACCCACCACCTTATCAACCATGAATGCAAAAGCCACCCCTTTCTATCCAGGGAGCAATACCGTTGAGTCAGTAATAGGTATGTGATAATCCCACGTATAACTCCTCATCCTCATTGATTCATTCCTTCAGCTCTGGGTATGGATGTATTGGATATACTGCCAAAGCCTGGGAGATACGTTTAAGCTGCGCTGTAGTTGGTCTGAGATGATGGCAGCAGGGCAGTGCTTTTGGGTGACGTTCAAGGTGCCGGTCCATGTGTGTATGTGTGTTAGCTCAGCTAAGGCTTTAGCAGTAGATTAGCAGCCAGTGAGTGCACAGACGCTGTGGAAGAGCCGTGGCAGACAGTGAGTCAGCACTGTGCCGAGGGGTACGTACGGAGCTGCTTTCTCCTTTTAGCCATCAGTCTCTATGTTAGAGATCATTTAAATTTTTATGTGGTTTCACCAATTGACAATCTTGTAGAATCTACTTGTTTTTTAGAAGTAGAAAAATGAGTATTAGTGTTGGTGCCCTCAAGTAGTCTTAATGTGAAAGGTTTTGGCTAGGATTGTTCTGATGTGACTGCTATCAAAAATACTTTTTTGTCCATGGTCTAAACTGTATCCTGAATTTCTTTTTTTCTTCCCCATCCTTAGGGTCTGCACTTGACCTGAATTTCAGTGACATTAATGTTGCCTCCCTTGAGAAAGAGCTAGAGGACCAAGACAATAATGGCCTTGGTTTAACAAGTAAGCAGTAATCATCGTTAGAAAAGTTGTATTGACTAACATTTGACTATTATTATTTTTCAGTTCTTTTTCATTCATATTGTCTCTCTTTTTTTGCAGGTCAAAGGTTGTTAGGAGGCTCCGCGCCTGTCAACATTCCTGGCTCCCTGGCACGGTCTTCCTCTCTGCATTCCTCCTCCTCGCTGTCCGCCTCCCCTCTCAGCTCTCTATCCCAGTCCCTGTCCCAATCCCTGCTCACTGGAATGGCCCCTCAGCAGAACCAGCCTCAGGCAGTCAAAACTGAGCATGGCCTTCTAGGGACACCAACATCCACCCAAAACTCTTTAGGTAGGAATTGTTGAAGAACATTGTGTTTACATCTGTTTTATGGAATGTGTATATGTCACTGTCTCAAAGAAGAATAAAAGAAACAAACGTGTGAAAGTGTCATGATGAATGGACCAATAGAAATTGGATAAATTGAGAGAAAATCTCTTTACATCAACTTACATTAAAAGAAAAGAATGTTTTCTCTCTCTCCTGTCAAGTTACCATTTTGGAGATGCTAGTTTTTCTTTGGACAGTAATAATACGTTGCATAAATTTTATACTTAAACATGCCACATAATCTCATTCTCTTGGACTAACTGCCTTTTTAAGTCATTTTGTTCTGTTTTGTGCAACAGGTTTGAACGGCGGAGCCGGAAGCATTTGGGACTTTGTGAGTGGCAGCCTCTCCCCCAGCCCTTCTCCTGTGTTTAGCAGCCTTAGCTCCAGCATGGTCAGCTCCAGCAGTGCTGACCTGGGCCGCCTGCTCCGGGAACTGGATGAGGCTAAGCGGAAGATCAAGCAGTGGGAGGACGCCTGGCACCAGGTCAAACAGGTCAGAATTAAAGCTTGAAATTTTTGTCATCATTTCTCAAATTTGTCAGACTCAGATAAGGTTCAAATTTCATGTTCAGGTTCCCCTAACCTGTTTTCCATATTTTGTTTGAATGGATTTTGGCCTGCATGTAAACCTACTTTAGTTTTCTTCCCTACTTTTATTACTTCACACCTTTTTTAAATCCAGCTGGATGTCTACCATTGTCACCAAGGCCAGCGGAACACAAGTTTATAGAGACTAAAAAATATTTGTTAATGTGGAAATTTACACAGCTAATAATTAGTTTGTTCATTTTTTTCTTTTGTTTATTGATGATCTGATAATTGCTGGTAGCAATTAGTAGGCGCCAGCATTAGGAATGTTGAGTTTTATTTTAGTCTCTGACTGGTTGTGATCTGGTTTGGGTAAGGTTTGAGCTCAGTCTTATTGGGCTTCAAAACTTGGCGCCATCAGTCAGGTTATCAGTTTTGATGCAGAACATTCTTGCAATGTCCTAGTCAGAACATCTGCACTTGTCCCTGCTCATGAGAGTGCACCAATTATATGTTTTGATAGTTTACATATAGTTCACAGTGACTCAACAAGGAAGGAAAGAGTTTCTTTTTGAAAATGTTAATCATCTTGACTGTCTTGGCTGTTTATTGAAGGCATGCGAGGTGTGGCAGAAAGATGCCCAAGAGGCGAAAGAGCAAGCAAAGTCGGCTGAGGCGGAGCGGCAGCTGGCCGAGCAGAAACGCGAAGACACCGAGCGCAAGCTCAAGGAGCTGCAGGGCGACTTTGACATGCTTTGCCGCTCCCCCAACATGCCTCTCCTGCGCAACTATGGGGACCTGGACCAGCTTCCACTTGCAAAGCTCCACTCCATTCAGAGCCAGCTGCGCTCTGATCTAGACCTCATAGACGGGGTAAGAAGGGCGCGGTCCCAGCCGACACATTTACCATGTCACATTTACACACACGGCAGTTAGATTGGAGTTGTCCTCGTTAAGCACAGCCAGGGCTACAGAATAGCATGTGCTTTCACCTCCATATCTGTCAACAGTGCATGTGTCACACTGAACGGTACTGACTGCACTAACATGTGACTGATATGAATTCTTCTTTTTCTCAACACAGGTAATATATCAGCTTCAGTCAAAGAAATGTATAGTTTGCCAAAAGCATGATCGTTGTATTGTCCTGCAGCCTTGCCAACATTATGTACTTTGTGAAAACTGTGCACCTAGTAAAACAGAATGTCCTTACTGTAAGACAAAAATATTGAAGTGGTGATGTACAGCTATTCAAGGTACTATTTAAAGATATAGCCCTTTGAAGAACTACTAATACATATAATGCTTACAGTTTCTACATAGCATTTTTGTGTTTCAGTATTTCATATAGTGATTAAAATTGATAGTTTTATTAGAATCTAATAAATGGTGTTTGACTGATATATAAATCAAGTACTTAAAATGCAATACATGTTTTGTACTAGCTAGTTAATTCATTTTCAGCAAGCATTACAGTTTCCCCAGAAGAACCGTCTTGGCATTCATAATCTGATGGCCCTGATTTGACTGTTAAGTTCAGAAGCGTCAGTCAAACATCATTGTTGCTACTAGCTGTGTGAAGAGAATTGATTTCTTGTTAAAAAGCACTTTGTTGACCTGGAAATTTGTCAAAAGGGTATTTTAGAAATTTTGCTTTAAGCTGCTTTTGTTTTTTTTTGTTTTTTTGTTTTGTTTTGTTTTTTAAGATTTTTTTTTTCCCAGATACGCTAATGTATGAAGCTTTTTGTGTGTACTGTGAAACATAGTAGAATATTTCATATTTCTTACTGTTAAAATCATGATATAGTATATTGTTAGTTTTTTGTATAAAATAGTACTAAATGGTAGTTACTACTTTTCATTGTTACTTTCATTTTTCAATCAAAATAAGTGCAAACTTTGAATGCATTTTAGGTATAACCAGCAGCTGTAATATCAGTAAGGCACATACTGTATGCTAAGGCATTTAGTAAGTTCTCTGTATTTTAGTGATTTATTGAGTAATACATTATGTAGTTGTTTAAAGGAGCACATGTGTTCTGAAGTCCTCGGAGACACGCTGACTTTTGTAGGACTTCTAGCCTTTCGGATATGTTTGCTAGAACGTGTCCGATTCTCGGCCACTCGCTCTCAAGTGCCTTGCCTAATAGAATACTTTAAGCGTCTATGAGGAGCTTAGGATTGTAGTGCAAACACCCACAGGTAGTCTGTGCTTGTGCAAAACGTTCTGCAAAGTATGTATTTCTCATTGCTCTCTTTTTCACGTTGTGAGCGTTTACCGGCCCAATTCTATACAAAAGTGTTTCCTGAATATTGAATCATGGTCAGTGCCTGTGCTCTGACACTAAGCTTAAGTCTTCTGTCCCCATTCCTCACGTCTCCATGAGCAATGGTGCTTTTTTGGGTGCAGCTTCGGTATCCTTAGAAATGTTGAATCATCTTTGATTTAAACGTTTAAGAACATACAAATCAGGAAATAAATGTGTGTATTTCTTTGATTTACAAATTTAAAACTGGCTCTCTTTCTACATTGTTTTTGTAATGTTTAGAATTGTAGTGCTCTGTAGTGTTTACAGATAAACAAATCCATTGTGTTTAACTATTGTTTTAAAATTTTTCTTTCCAAATTCGACAGTGTAATGTGCTTAGGTTAATCTAATTGAAATGACCTACTACTGTGTTATCTGAACTAGATTTCTTTTTTTTTCATTCTTTTTTCTTTTTGTTTTCTTTCTTTTCTGGTCCTTTAATATTACAGCAATGAGTTTGTGCGTTAAACAGTCAGGTACACACAAATGCAAGTTTCTTTGACATTGGGATAAGTGTTTTACTTCTAAAGGGATAGTGATTCAGGATCTAAAGGCCCAGACCTAAGTAGTTTATTTCAGATCTCTGAAGAGCAGGAAGTGTATATATTGTTTCTCTTTGTCTTGCTATTTTATTTTCCCTTTTGATTCTTTCTTCTGTGTTGGTATTTAAATCAACGAGGTCTGTATGTAACTCATGAGGCTCAGTACGCCGTAGAAAAACAATCATTGCATGTCTCGGTGTAAGTGGTGTTAACCAGCTAAAAGTCTAAATCACACTGCCAGATGTGTTGGTGTTGAGCTGCCGAGGCCAGGCACTGAGCCGGCGTCGCAGCTGACAGCACTGAGGTATTTCTATAATTCTTTACAATACTTCAAAAGCTTTGAACTGTGTGATTATCCATTTTTTTCGGAATTAAGGGGACGTGGTTGACGTGAGTATGTCCGAAACAGTTGTTTTGGATCACACTGTAGTATTGTAATGTTTCGTACACTCTGGTGTTCAAGAAACTTTTTTGTGTTAGGTATTTCATTTTAGGGATGGTTGACAGTTTCGTCTTTTTCGGATGTCAATGGCTGTTGTGGGAATATGTCCTCTTGTTGGGTTCCTGGACCACATTGTAGGATTTAGTTAAAGTAAATGATGCGATTGCTGCGTCTGGAATGTGGCAGGTAATTTACAGAAAAAAAAGAGAACATGGACTTGACTCAAATGAACCAAAGTGTTAATGTAGTTTCTTCTTGTTTTCACTTTCAGAGTTCAAATTATAAATGATTTAGAATTACTATGACAGTCTTTTCAATGTTTAATTTGACAGGAAAACTATGCCAACTGCTTTTGCTGACAATATTAATGGATTTAAAGCTTGTTTTGTAGTTTTACCAAAGACCTTTACTGTTTTTTCTTGTTTTTTCCCCTTTTTTATTTTTTATAAATATTTCATTTTAGCACTCAAGTGAATTGGTTAGATGTCTGATTTAAAAAAATGACCAAAACTAGTACCTTAATTATACTGATCTGTGCATTTAAAATAACTAATGGTATAAAAGTCGTAATCTTCAGCCTTTTTTTTTTTTTCTTTTTTTTTCTTCAGTGAAAATGACAGTAACATACTAGTATTGAATTGGCTGTTATCTGTAGTGAAGGAATGTCATGGATATGAATGAAATTTGTGTTTATATTCTTAAGTGGCCATATGAATTAGTGCTTATTTGAAGTATATCATTTCTTTTTTATGCTAATAGTACTTTATAGTAAAATTCTTAAATCAGTTTTGAAATATTAGTGGTTGTGCACTACTTGTATGCTGTCAGGAATTTAAGAGTGTACTTGGACTGTAAGGTGCTTTCTTTAGTTTCCATTTGACTGGTGTTCGTCACTCATTTTCATGTTAAAAAATTATACATGGAGTGTGATCCATGTTATTCGAACTACCTTTTCTTGTGTCAAAACTGTATAGTACGGTTTTAATATTTCATATATATATATATATATATATATATATATATATATATATATATATATATATATATATATATATATATATATATATAAATAACATAAACAATTTGTTCTAAAGTTAAAGGGGGCTCTTGTATAGCTCTTAATGGCTGATGCAGACAGTGGGCTTTGTTCATCAAAAGAGCATTGAAATCAAATTTTGGCCTTTAATTGCACTTCAATTGGCCGTTTTTGCATGTTGTATTACTGAATCTCCATGCTGTGATTAATTCACGTGTTTGTGGTTATATATTTCAGATTACTACTAGTTAGTGTCTTGCAGAAATGATATTTGTGTAAGAAACAAAATATGAACAAATTTGTGCCTTTGTGTAAAAAATCTGTTTGTAGTATTATTTGATTGAGTGGCTGTCTTCAAAAATGAGCCAAATTTTTGTGCCTTGGGACATTTTATTCCCGTATTCCTTGATGTGCAGGTGTCCTGCTGTAGATTTCTACACATTTTTATTGTATTAATGACTACTTTCATACCTTCATCTTTTGGGAAGGTGCAGCTTTAAGCTTCCCATTACAAATAAGAAAGTGTCGCAAATCGCTTGCACGAGCACTTATTGGCATGTTTTTCAGTACAAATAATGTATTGCAGAAAACGATCACAGCATATTACTCAATTTGGATAATTTCAAGTATGACATTTCAGATGACCTGATTAGTCTGTGTCCATCATTATGGTGATTTTCTATGTTGATGTGTTTTTGTCATGACTTTGTGTTATGGACTAATTTGTAATAAATGAAAACATGATGGAAAAAAATAAAGTTTTGTAGGCGTTAGTGGTTAGACTCTCGCAAAGAATTTCAAAAAGCTGAAAAAGTCAATCGCAGGCATGAATGAAGACTTTTCTTCCGCTTGTGTCATGTTTGTAGTCCCCTCACTTTAAAAATCCCTATGTCTGTGTCAGCCATCACACCTTCTGTTCAAACCGCCTGTGTTAATAATGATGATAATAATTCTGTGTGAAAGGCCAGGCAACTGTTATTAAAGAAAAGCACCAAGTAGAAAAGTTTGTTCTTTAGCAATGTGTAAATTAACTGTAATGGAGATGTACCATAATGCTCTGCAGTGGAATAATCTTTTTTGTGAAACTGTTTTCTTTTTGTTTGTTTGTTTATTTTATTTTCTATCAATATTGTGATTATTGAACCTGAAGATTTATGCAATCTTGTACATACATATGTATGAATCTGGTTAAATTTAGCAGGATAGCTAGGAAAAAATAATAGCCTATTACAACTGTAAACATTTGTAGAAAACGGACAAAAAAGATGCCAGAATTGGAACCACTGTTCCACTGTTCAAGTAATGTTATGATTAATCCAACATGGAAACCCTGAATATTGAATGTACCGTTCAAATTAAATCTAATATGGGTCACTGGAAAGGAAAAAAAATGGAGAGCAGTTGATCTATGATGTAGCACTAGTTTTGTGAATTGCGATAAATGACAAATAAATTTTTAAGTTAAACACAAATGCAGTTTTCAAGTTTGTGTATTTATCAGTGTAATGATTAGATGGGAATAAGAGATGTATTTTCTCAGGGTTTTACAGGATAACTATAGAATAAAGAGATGTCCGATTTTCAGAGGAAGCTGCAGCTCAGATTTATTTCCTTAAAAGGTCAGTATGAGTGACCTTTTATAATGAAGAAACATATCCCTTATTTTGGTACAGTATGCATTGATATATAGAACAGCTTATATTCTAATTAGTGTTTAACTATACTATACAATTTGCTGTCAGTATAATACTTCGTGTATGTGATGTCTACACAAGACCTTAAAACATTTACTTGGGAGTTCTCTTAAAATTTATGGAGGCTTCTTCATGGAATAGTTGAGTGCTTTGATGGAATATAAGACCTGAATGGATTTATCACTAAAAATTTAAGTAAGACGGTATTATTTATAATGCATAATCTTTTATTCATAGTGTATCATTTAAAGTTGTTAACACTTGTGTACACTACAGCAGTTATGCAATGGTTTACAGAATTCATGGAATTATTTTTATCATATTGGGAATTAAATAATTTTTGATCTTTAACCTGGTGCAAGTGTGTTCTTTTCATTGAACCTAGTGCAAGTGTGTTGCGGTTTCATTTAGCTTAAAGTTGACCAAGAAGAAATCGCACACTGTAAATAATTGTAGACTTCAAAGGTTTCTGTAATAAGACATCACGATAGACTTATGTTCGGAAACACAAAGAGTGATTTTAATACAAACTCTGAAACCCTGAAGTATCCAGTAATGTACAAAAGGCAGAAACCAGCCTTAATGTATTTAATTTCCAATCAAAACTGCCATAATGCACACATTACTCATTTTCATTTAGATATAATTCATTTGAATAAGAGAGTCAAAGAAAAATACATAATAAACGTGAGTTTTAAAACTAGATTTCAAGTAATTAGAAGATAAAGAGAAAATGGGACTCCTCACAGCTGTGCAAGACCTGGTAGACCACCAAAACTCACCATCAGATAAACAGATGCTTAAAGCTTCATCCGAGAGAGAGAGGAGAAAATCAAGCTCCACTCTTGCCTCAGATCTGAAAATAATCCAGAGATGTTTCTGTCCATCTTTCCACTGTGAAAAGACAACTCAATGCTATGAGTCTGAAAGGAGGTATAGCTGTCAAGAAGCCATTACTGATAAAAGGAAATGGACAAAAAAGGAGAAAATGTGCAAAAACGAAACAAAACCAACTTCTAAGACTGAAATGAGGTGTGGAAAAATATCCTGGCAGATCCACTGAAAAACTGCAAGTAAAAAGAACGGAAGCTATAAAAAAAGACAAAGTGTAGACACACTAAATACTAACATTTCAATATTGTATTTAGTTGTTGAGGCTTCCTGTGTAATTAATGGCTGTTTTGACTGTAAATTAGGGAAATGAAGGGTGGTCTCTAACTTCTGCACTGTACCGTATGTGTAAAACTGAATGCATATTTACTCTTACTTTTAATAGCTAGATAAATATCAAGTTGATGCATTGATATATAAATATAAAAAAAATGTCTGCATGTTCTGACACTGCAGTGAGGTAATCGAGATTATCGTGGCGCTATGATGTGGTAACTGTCAGGAGTGAAGCCATCAAACAGGTAGCACAGTAACTTCACTGCCTGCAGTGTAAAGAAAGGAACACATTACACTTTCAATGGGACATGTAATACTGAGTAATGTTCTCCGGTGGTGATGGCAGTTTTTCTTACCTCATTTTCCGAGCTGGGGTACAGAAGCGTCTTCCTCACTTTCTCAAAGTCTGGTCTAGCTCTACAAATGCTATAATGCAGAGGGCAAGATCTGTTAAAAGTCTTAACTGAATTGAGTTTAAATGGCATGTTAAGCTTTGCAAACCAACAAACAAAACCACAGTTTAATATTTTTAGTAATGCTTAATAGTCAAGCATGTTGATAAATGAAAGTCTAACAACAGATGTTTTTCTGCCTCAATCAAAATTGTACCTTTCAAGATTCAAGTCAAAGCATGTCACAACACTGTCCTTTTGCAGAGCAAGAATAAGACACGGACCCTCAGACAGAAGTGTTTCCTGGGTAAAGATTGTAAATCATAAGAAACATAAACACAGTTCACACTCTGCTTCACTTGAATATAATCAAGTGGGGAGGGAGTCCACCCACATTAACTGCTCCACCACCAGGGGGCCTCAATAATTCAGATATGTGCCTCCTTTGAGCCTTGTCTAGTGTGGACAACCTCCCGGCCACCAGGTGGCAGCCTGTCCTCAGCAGTTGCTCTAAGAGGTCCAGGTGAAGGGGCAGTCTGCTCAGCTGGAGCAGACCGGAGGGCATGAGGAGGCAGGTGGTCTGGCAGAGTGCACTGCGGACCGAGCACCCCACTGGCACTGAAACACAAACAAACAACATAACTGTCCTGTTCTGCTTTACAAAGTTCACATTCGACTGATTAAACATCAATAAGAACAAAGAACAGCACAGTCATGGCGTTCTGACTCAAGCGCTCTGACAAGGACAAGAAAGTGTAAAGCCGAGGAATGCCTTGCCTCCGATTGATCCTGACTCCTCAATGACAGACTGAGAGCGCTTGTTCTTGGCAATGACTGTAATGGTGTGAGACTGTTGCCGTTCCAGACTAGCCACAGGGTCAGAACTCAAACATGGTATCTGAAAAACATCACAGATTACCGTTCAACCTTAAACTGACACATTAATTTCTGCTGTTTTAGTGTCTGGTTAGATTAAGATTTTTCAGCCTCACACATGCAAAAACCTTCTATACCTGCTCATGTTTAATGATTGATGTTTCGGAGCAGCACAAACCATCTGAGAATATCATCTTTATATCTTGCACAGCTTTCTGATAGGAGAATGATCCTGAAATAGAAAATCAGGGAATATGGTGTCAGTATACGGTCATTACTTTAAAATCATACTATAAACATCATTGCAAACCCAAGTAACAATGATCTAAGTGAGGAATGTGTCAATAAGTGAGCTCTCCAGATAACCAACAGTAGATTTCAAGTGCTGTTAGCCAGGTTAGCTCTGTCTGATGGGTCTGTGGCACATGGTTGATCACAACCAATAATTTAGACTAGTTCTCCAGAAGAAAGTTTTTGCTATGTTACCAGCGTAGTAGTGTGTGTGTGGTCAACTATGGTGATTATACAGTGGTTTATAGAATAACAGAATTATTTGATTAATTGACTTATTTTTCTATATTGTTATCTTTCACCTCGTGTGAGTGTATTCTATTTTTCTACCCTCTTTTCCTTTATGTGGTATCATAGCACTTTCATTTAGCTTATAAGCTGACCAAGATAAATTGTCATGTTTTTTTTAGTTCCTTTCTAAGTAAAGGAATAAGGGAAATTAAATGATTGCCCATGGTAGTCAGTGGTATGTTAAACAGTGCTATGAAAACACTAAACCCTAAAACTGTTGTAAATGAAACTTGTCATGAGTGGCAGTAACTAGGGCTGCGTATTGTTCAAAATATTTTGATTTATAACAGTTTCTTGGTACTCACTATTGAAGTCATTCAGTCAGTATAAACAAAATATTGAACTACTTAGCAGTAACAGTACACTACTACTACCGTAGATGCCGTTGTGCACTGTGTCAGTGCTATAGCTGGCCCTCCACAAGTGCTGGTCTTCAGCAGGGTCCTCAGGGCCCAGCAGCTCCAAAAGCCTCTTAACTGCATTCACTCTCTGCAGGCATAAAGCCAGTGCAGGGCTAGACCCCAAGTACTTCAACTCTGACTTCTTCTTAGAGTGGTCCTGAAAATCAAATACAGACCTTGACAAAAATTATTACTATTTGTAAAGATAGTTTTGCAGTTTCATGAAATGCTTTGTTCCAGTTGTTCAAATGAGCAGTAAGAAGGAGAATGACCTGGTGCTCCTGGGCAGCCGTCAGCACATCTGCCATCTTTGAGTCGAGCACAAGCACTCGCAAGCCCACCAGAGTGAAGCCGTTCTGCTGGATCTTGCTGAGGATTTTGCCTAAGCAGTGTCTCCAGACGCCGGGTTTGAAGAGTGCCAGAGTGAGAAGAGGCTGTGGGCCTGCAGAGTGTAGCAGTGCGAGTCAGAGAGACTGCCATGAAAAATGCTCTTTGTCTGAATAAGATATCACTTACCCTCTGTCATGCAGCTGTAGAAGGACTGACTTTTGGAGCCTGAAATTAGACAGACATTGTCAGTGCACTGTCGGTAGGAAGTGCTTCATCGGATGGCATTTTCACAGATTTTTGCATATAATAGACATACCGGTGCTCAGTGGTGGGAGGAATTTCAACATTGTACGGCTGCTGTGATCTAGAAACAAGGGCACATGCAATTATTTTTAAATAATTTGCCATGTGCTGAAGGATGGGGAAGGAAATGTAAAATTCTGTGTCATAATCTCAGTTCAATTAACTTCTTATTCTATTAGGCTTTTTATTCAGTTATTGATCTTAAGACTTATCATTGTTGCAAGTTACACAGTTATGAGAGTGAGGAATTAAAATGTAGGTCCACATATAGGTCTTTAATGTTTAAGGGGTTCATATGTGAGTGGCTGAAGAACACTGATAATGAACATGTCCATGTTTGATGCTCTGGGCAGTGTTGAAGCTGAATCTTCACCTGGGATCAACTCTGCCTCAGCGAAGAAGAGCGCGGCTTGTCTGAAGGCCATTTCAGGGGTAGGCGACATCAGCGCACTCAGGTTCCCTGGGTAGTCTTGTGGCAAAAGCCTCCGCAGAGTGCCAAATGCCTGCAGCCTCCTAAGGGCACAGACCAGGGCTGGGGAGGACGCCAGGCTCGCCACACTGCTCTGCCACAGACGGTCACCAACCTCGAAAGGGCTCAGCTCCTGAGCCTGCCTCAGGGACAGCGTGGGCAGCCATTTCAGTGCCAACAGCTCGAATCTCTCCTCCCCCGCTCCTCCTGGGCATAAGTACATTTGAACACTGGACATTGTGATCTTCTCCAAACGTCAGAGCAGTGTGTGTCAAATAATAGCACAGAGCAACAACCAAATGCGTACTGAAAAACTACTATAGGTTTACCTTCACACATTTGAAGTGAAGTGTAAAATGTGTCTGTATATGCTAATGTTCAAATGTTTGGCATTACTTCTCAAATTAATAATGTTTGCCATTTTACATAACAACTTTTACAATGTAGATTTAAATGTTATGAAACACCATGTTCTTTTCTATTTAAAGTTCCATATTTGAAATATGAAGCATTCTGGATATTTATTTTATTTATTTTATATATTTATTTAATTCTCTACATCCTAGAGCTTTCTCAGTTTAGAGCTACACCTCTACAGTACAGGTTTTAAATTTGTGAAAACTGATTCCACACTTTGGAACAGTGATTCAAAATGTTTGAATTGCGTAGCGTAGTTAATATGTATTCAGAGAAAACACTAAACTCTGCAGTCCCTCTTGGATTGGTGTCTGACATTCGAGGTCACTGTGGAAGGATCCAGGGATGTAAATGATTAACTGATTAACTAGACCTGACAGATTAATTGTTTTATATCAACCACATCTAACAGGCAGTCTGGTGCACTACGTTCAGCATTCAAGGCTGAAAAAGTGGCTATGTTGGGTTTCATGGCCAGAAAAAAGAGCCTGCCTTGGACCTCAATGTATAGAAAAGTATCACAATTTAAATCACAGTTACAACATTGGTCAGAAAAATAGCAATTAGATATTTTCCCCAAATCGTTCACCTCTACAATTAACCAGGAACCAACAGCTGAACAACTGTTCAAGCAATGCTATCAGTTTAAAAACAATTTAATTTTTGAATTGCAGACACAAAGACCACTTTTCTAGAGCATTACAGCAAAAATGTATTATAACAAAGCAAACATCTGTGAGTGATAAGGCAGACAACTATGTTGTCCATGTTCTCTGAGAGAAAGTGCATGGAAAAGTTTGAGGAAATCACACACTAAATTATAGAGAAGGACATGGTGGATGGCAACGACTTTCGAGAGTTACTGAGGTACACAGAGCCTATATATACACACAAAACTTATATATACTCATATATATTACAGTCATTTCATCAAAATGAACATAATCATGAACATCTTTTAGCAGTCAGCCTCTCAGTTAAACAAAACAGGGTTCTTATGTACGATATGTTTAATATGGTTTAACATGGCTGCTTACTTCATATACACGGTTATGTCTGAGCCCCACCTGTCAGTACTATGTTCCATGGGTACATTAATACAGAATTTAGCTGTGTGCTCTCATACGTGTATAACAATTATTTTACAAAGGCTTTGAATGCGCAGATTTCAGAACTTGAACTATCCGCTTTACTACTAATATTTTGATGGGTTGCATCCTTGATTTTAGGCTTGCTGGTTAACGCTTAATCAGTAAAAAGAAACTGTCAAAATTTGTATTCGGCAATAGGATCAGAAGTAGGACTTTTTGAATCAACCTCCACGTACCTGCTACATCTCCACTAATGACATTGTGAAGCAGACTTATGCCCTCCTCCATAACGTTGTGACCGGTCAACGTGAGAATCACGATCTGCTCCATCTCACTGTAGGAGGGATACCTGTGATTGGACAGGATCACGTGGCTGAAGTCTGGCAACGTCCACATGAGCCCACCTACAGCATATAAATATGTTCTCCCTCAGCTCTTACACTGAATGCACAAAAGTACACAAATTAGATTGATGCTAGTGTATTTGTGTACCAAGGAAGTTGAGGAGGTTCTCTGTGTAAGGCACAGCATGGAAGCAGAGATCTGGAGCTAGCCGAACATCACTTGCCAGTCTGGCACGGAGCAACCCGACCAAGCCTTTTAATGCAAACTCATTCATCAGACCTACAAAAAAAGGAAGAAAAGTATTATAGTAATAATAGTAAGTTATAATACTGCTACAGTAGCTGAATCTTGCCTATACTCACTGAAAATGTATAATGATAGGCATCTCTGGCCATTACCACCACTATGTGTAAAAAAAATTTTTGTTCCTTGTTAAGCTGTACATCGAATTGAAAGCAAAACTAAAGTGTGTTCTACAAAGACCTTTCAATAATCCCCTCTCCTAGTTACTGACTGTCCATTTTGCAGCTTAGCAGCTGTAACCAGGCTAGACAGTTCTGACAAGATTTCAGAACTTTACAATATGCTGCAGTGTTGAATGTGGCTACTGCTAAATCAGACACCTAATGTTAAAAAGTTTTCACCAGACTGGTTGCTTAGGGCAGAAAAGGCCAGTTGCCCTCTGGTATAAGTTGATGTCCCCTACTATATCAAAGTTCTGCAGAAAAATGCTCCTGCAGCAGTGTGAAAATCTTTTGTATGTGCATCAGGTTGCATGGCCCCTTACAGATTCTTCCGAGTAGGTTGTAACTAAACAATGAACATTAATAGAGAATTAAGTAAAAATATTTTATTTTAAAGGCATAAATTAAATACATTTAAGATTATATTTGAATGAAGTGTTTATGTAGCTAGCTGTGTTTTAGATATGTTTATCAATCCTCAAAATACACTACACCTTGTATCTATACTCATTGTCCATTTGATCAGGTCCACTTACCATATAGGTGCACTTTGTAGTTCTACAATTAGACTGTCGTCCATCTGTTACTCTGCATACTTTTTTTTAGCCCCCCTTTACCCTGTTTTTCAATGATCAGAACCCCTCAAGACCACCACAGAGCAGATATTGTTTAGATGGTGGATCATTTTCAGCACTGCAGTGACACTGACGTGTTGGTGGCATGCTATGTGTATGTTGTGCTGGATCAGCACAGCGCTGCTGGATTTTTTAACACCTTAGTGTCACTGCTGAGCACAAACTGTGCAGCAGCAGATGACCTACTGTCTTTGACTTCACATCTACAGAATGGACCAACAAGGTGGGTGTGTCTAAAAAAAGTGGACAGTAAGTGGACAGTGTTTAAAAACTCCAGCAGCACTGCTGTGTCTGATCCACTTATATCAGTGCAACACACATGACATGCTACAACCACGTCAGTGTCACTGCAGTGCTGAGAATGAATGACCACCACCACTCCTGTGGGGTTTCTGAACAGGGTTAAAGGGAGCTAACAAATGAAGAGGCCGGTTGGTGTATATATGCAAAAGTATGTGGACACCTTTATCATCACACCTATACAAGCTCGTTGGACATTCCATTGCAAAACCATGAACATTAATATGGAGTCCCCTGCCTCTTTGCAGCTATAACAGCCTCCACTTTTCTGGGAAGTCTTTTACAACATTTTGGAGTGTGTCTGTGGGAATTTGTGCCCATTCAGTCAAAAGATCATTTGTAAGGTCAGGCACTGATACTGGACGAGAAAGCCTGGCTCGGAATCGACGTTCCAATTCGTCCCAATGGTGTTCAGTGGGGTTGAGGTCAGGACTCTGGGCAGACCACTGGAGTTCTTCTACACCAAACTGATCAAACCATGTGTTTATGGACCTTGCTATGTGCACTGGAGCACAGTAGTGCTGGAACAAGAGAGGGTCTTCCACAAACTGTTGCCACAAAGTTGGAAGCATATAATTGTCTAAAATGTTGTTGTATGCTATAGCATTAACTTTACCATTCACTGCAATTAGCCCCAACTTTGAAAAACAGCCCCAGACCATTATCCCTTTTCCACTTAACTTTGGCAAAGTTGGCACTGTGCATTTTGATAGGTAGCTCTCCTAGCATCCACGAAACTCACATTCATCCATCAGACTGCCAGAAGGTGAAGTATAATTCATCACTCCTGAGAACACATTTCCACTACTCCAGAGCTCAGTGGCGGCATGCTTTACACCACTCCAGTCGACGCTCAGCAGCGTGCATAGTGATCTTAGGCTTGTGCGCAGCTGCTCGGCCATGAAACTTCATTCCAGGAACCTCCTGACGTACAGTTTCTGTGCTAATGGTACCTCCAGAAGCAGTTTAAAACTCTGTAGTGAGTGATGCAATAGAGGATAGACGATTTTTACACACTACGTGCTTCAGCACTCGGCAGCCTCGATATGTGAGTTGGCATGGTTTACCACTTCGTTTCTGAGCTGCTACTCCTAGACACTTAGGTTTCACAATAAAAGCTTTTCCAATTGACCAGGAGAAACAAAGACTTCTGGCAAAAGTGACATCCTATAACAGTGCCACATTTAAAGTCACTGAGCTCTTCAGTGCAACCCGTTCTACTGCCAATGTTTGTCTATAAAGATTGCATGGCTGTGTGCTTGATCTTATACACCCGGGCCATTTGCAATGGTTGTGGCTGAAACTTCTGAACTCAATAATTAGGAGGGTTGTCCACATACCTTTGGCCATATATTACACATGATGTCTTGTTATGATACTCCACTTGGAAGATGAAGACTACACTAGACTTCCTGTCAAATGTGATTTTGTATTGCTAACAAAGCTTGGAATGAAACTCACGAAAGAAAACCAAAATACATGGCCTTCCGTTATGATACTGGCTATAGAAATAAGAGCTGCACCTGTAGACAGGCTTCCACAGTGACGCAGTGCATTCTCTTTCCTCAGCAGCAGCACCAGGGAGTGAGAGTAGAGCTCTCCATCCAGAAACACAGTGGGTGCGTGACAGAACGCCGACATCTAACATGACCGGAAAAGAGGTTCATGACAAACACAATCTCCATCACTGTCGCTGCCTGTCTCTCTAAGTAAGATCCATGGAGCAAAGCATTCATGAGATGTTTGCTGCGGGTGCTAAAAACTGATTACCTGCACTGAGGTGAGGCCCAGAGATGAGGCTCGCTTGCTGGAGATCTGAACTCTCTGTAGCCCCATTAAGTGGAAGCCTCTTTTTGCACACACAGACAGCACATAGCCGTAACAGCATGGTGGAACCACTGGAGATACAAGCAGGAACACATCGCCTAGGAAAAGAGGAAGTTGGGTTGAACAGTTAGAGGCTTAGACAGTGTTACCTAAGCATGGATCTCTGTTCTTTATCATTTTTAATAGTGTCTTAAGCTTGATTCAACTCATCAGCTAATAACAATCCTTTCCTAAACTGAACTGCATGTATTAAGACTAATCTACACAGATGGGGTACTCCAAAACCAGAATTGGGAAATACACTGAAGAATATACTGAGTTACCAGGTTTGTTACACCTATCTTGCACCTGCACATAAGTGATATCTTCCACATAAATGCATTTTGTACTGTGTTCAAAAATTCCACTGATAGATGTAGTATATGGCTGATTACTGACTGTAGCCCGTCCTCAGATTGGCTACAGTGAGCAGTCTTGTACTCACAAAGGGCACCTACACTCTCCAGCCACTATGCTGGGTACATCTATATACCTTCTCAGTCATGCAATTATCCAAAAATGTGGCAGCGGTGCTGTCTCGACCCACATCATTCAAGACCTTAAGTTACATTGACATTAAACATCAGAATAGGGAAAATGTGATATAAATGACTTTGACTGTAGCATGGTTGCTGGTGCCAGACCAAGAGCAGAGTGGTTTAAGTATTTCAGAAACTGCTGATCTCATGAGATCTTCACACGTTTTCCAGAGAATACCTAATAAACTGGCAAATGTATATTCTGGGCCATGACTAAATTTCTTTGCTATACATGCATACATATTTGTTGTAGAGATATGCAGCAATAGTAGCAATTACCATAGCTTTTTTGCATCTGATGTGATGAGACAAAATTAAGCAATGTTCTTCCTACCTTTCACTGTGGCACAGAGAGCTGCAGTTGAAGAGGTTTCAGTGTTAAAAGCTCTGTCTTTCTTGCCGCTACAGCTCTGTTTCCTGTTGGCAGCAAACAGGCATAGGAGGTATTTCAGAGTGAGCTTTTGTGACCTGTAGTAGTGTTGAGAGCTTTAGGATTTATGGAGCTACTTACTGCTCTGTTACCATAAGGCCAGTTTTTGGCACTCTCCCACCAAACCACACAGACAAACCCAAGTGCACCCGGCTGGCCATTCGTGGATAGAGGAGCAGGGGCTGATCTTGGTCATGGCAGTAGAGGGCACTGACAGATACTGGGTCAGTTTTCTGGGCCAGATGGGGGTCTGAGGGCCCAGTTATCTCCTGCCAAATGGAGCTGGCATAGGTTCCACGGATAGCCAGGGCGAGCACTGGCTGATGGGAATACTCCCATCCGTGCCCACCTGTCACATGCACTGCCAAAAAGAAGCTATTTCACAACATATCACTGCAATCTCCTAACCCCAGAAATGTATGCCTTGGGTCACTAGCGAGCGATAACCTCATTTCCTTCTCTCTAAGTAAATAAAATGTTTTGACAGTATTAAACTATCATTGCAGTTTTTGATCAATCAGTGTTGGATATACACTAGTGTTTAAAAGTTTGGAATTACTGTTTAAAAAAAAAAAAATAATAAATAAATAATTATGCTGCAGATACATTATGAAATTATTTTATTATACTGCTCTTCACAGATAAATAGAGCTGTAGAAAATTCTAAAAATCTACCATCTAACACCCAGAATGCTTCATATGTGAAAAGTGGTGATTAAATCTTGAGGTAGAACTTGACAAAAATGACTGCTAATAGATAATTACAGTATACAATTAACAATATATAATAATCCTGTAAATATTAAATTGTCCGGTCTAGTATCTAGTTTACACTGTAATATCTGCACTGTGTAAGTTATAACCGTATATAAAATACCTCAAAATATGAATATAAAAAGTGAATCCAAACTTTTGACCCGTAGCACATGTAGCGGCTGAAGAAATTACACATAAACGCTATTAATGTTATGTGTCCAGTTGTTTACCTGCAGTATTTGCTAGGAGCTCTTCTGAAGGGTAAGTGAATCGAAGGCCGCATACATCCAGACCTGAACTCTGTAGAAGCTGCAGGGTATGATGTGTCGCTAAAGGGTCATGAAATAGTGGTCGACATCCTAAAGCAATCACTACCTGAGACCAAGAAAGACATTTGCAAGTAATCCGAGGAAAAATAAAAAGTGTGTTTGTATTACTGTTGCAAATGACTAAGTCCTTCTCACCTCAGTGTGAGACTGCTGAGAAGTCACGGCCTCTGCCCTTTGGCATATTTGGTCTCGGGTCTCAAGTGTCTGCCAATAGAACCCAGGACTCACCCCAAAGGCCCTCTTGACAGCCTGCAGTAAAATACCATGTCAGAGCAATGCAACAAAAAAAAACAGACTGCAAATACATCTTTGAGTAAAACATTCATTTGAATCTGAATAAATCTCATTCATGCATTTGGTTGACCTCTTTGTCAGGGCTTATGGAAATGAAGCAGTCAAGACTTGCAGAGGGCAAAGAGATGAGTGCAGGGTGGGCCTGCTGTTCTAGTAGGTGGTTAAGCTGTGGCAGCCATGACACTACTGTCCTTAGTTGTGTCTGAGACAGAAACCTGGACACTCGCTGATGGAATAGATCCCAGCCTTTTTTCATATCCTTCCTCTGTAAGTAAAATAAACAATGACACTGAACACTGACACATACATTAAAAATGACTACAAGTTTGGATATATATGTCTCACCCTAGGCTTTATGTATAGAGGCTGGCTTTCTTCAGGGGACACAGTACAGACATAAAGCACCAAACCATCATCTCTGCAGAACTGCTGCAACCCAGCCACCCAAAATGGAGCGGTATCTCTAGTGTTTCTCATGGTGTCCTTCATGCTAAAGTTGTTGGGCACGGCCTGCCATGAACCAGATTAATGACAAAACAGCACTAAACATGTTATCCAGTCAAAGACACCATGAACTAGCAGTAAGGGTGGTAAGGGTGTAAAAATGCATCTGAAGGTGGCAATTCAACCGAACTAATTTTGCAACGTTATAATAGATCATAATACATTACAATCATATGCAGTAAAGCATGCCCTCATTTTTTTATTAATAAAATAAATTTTTAATGAAATCATTTTCAAATTTACAGTACTGTGAAAACGTCCACCTTTTTATTTAACTTCCAGTCAAAATGGCTATCAAGTACAAGTTATTCATTTTTCAGCACGAGGATCCAAAAAAAACACTGTATTGAAAAAAAATATTATATACATGCACAGAAAGCTTAACAGCCAAATATCAAAATTTCAATATCTAGGGTGTCCCCTATTCCCCATTAGTATAGATTCTATTGTTTTTAGAAGATTTGCTTATAGTTTATCAAAGAAAATGTCTAGAGATATTTTGCTACACCTCCAAAGTTGTCTTAGAAGTTGCATTTTCTTCTTCTCACTGTCCAAGTAATCCCAAACACATTCAGTGACTCTGGGGTGGCCACTGTTCTCAGAACACCATCACCTTCTTTGTTTGATTTGCAAATGTTCCCCTTTTTTGTCTACTTCCTTTTCTCAGTAATGGTAGCTTCTTGACAACAACACATTGCTTCAGACCCACGGCACTGAGTTGTCTTCTCACAGTGGAAGGATGGACAGAAACATCTGTGGATTTTTTTTCAAAAGTGGAGCTTGATCTTCACTTTCTCAACGATGAATGCTTTAAGCACAGTTTATCTGATGGTGACAGTTTTGGTGGTCCACCAAATCTTGCATGGTTGTTAGGAGTCTCATTTTTTTTCTTTTAACCTTTTTTTTGAACTCATGTTTTTGAAAATACTTATTTTCCTTTGACTTAACACTTCCTCCTCCTAAGTGGGTTATCTTGTATCTAATCTTTTCTGAAATTCATTACTTGATAGCTGTTTTGACCGGATATTAAATAAATGAAAGGTGGTCTCTGACTTCCAAATCCAATAAACCAAAAAAAAAAAGCTTGTTCATTGTTTTATTGTTTGTGTTCCACTAGTGTGCTAATAATTTCTCTTGTCTGATTTACACACAATTTAAAAAGTCACATTCTACATTAAATGATGACACATACCAAGGACAGAAACCAAGCTATAAGGGAGTTGTAAACATGAGATCTGACTGTGGTTGACTGCACCGTGTGTGCCTTTCCCTGTGCTCGTCCTGCTACCACACCTGGGCTGGACAAAGTAACGGTCAGGAGCAGGCACTTGCTACTTTGGAGGTTTGGAGGCAGAGTGCTAACTGAGGAAAGATGTGACCCTTCCTGTTAAAGCAGCAAGAAAAAAAAACATTGAACTTTCCCCATAGCTGTGAAATAAATTCCTTGATTCTAGAAATGTCTACAAGAAACTGCTCACAGTATCATAAAGAATATCGGTCATCTCAGCAGCACTCTGTTTATCATTTGTAGATCTCTGAGGTCTGAGGGTCAACAGATACTTCAGATACCGCTGCCATTGAGCCTTGTTCATCTGCTGTGCCTTCTGTACACGGTCACTGGTAACGACAACTCATCAGACATACACACTTTACATAGTCTCACATCTCTTAAATAAAAAAACTAGCAAGACTTAATTGTTTCTTCATTAAAATTCATTTAACATCATCCTGCTAACAGCTGCTAACACCGATCTGTGTTAAAATTAGCTCTGAAAGGTTTTAAAATGGAAGACATGGCATTTTTGATCAAACCAAGTCATGTAGGGTGAAAGGCATGTAAGTTCAATGAGAGGGGCTAATTTGATTTGCATTCCATTATTTTATTTATTCATCTTTCGAGAATGATACTTTTCGAAAGCTATGCAAAGTCTCTGTACCTCTCTTCCTTCTTGTGAGAGGTCAGTGTTTTATCTAGGGGTGCCGCAGCCTCTTCACATGCAGTTGTAGGAAAGGACGTTTTATCCAGATGTTTAATAGGAGGTGGAATCTTACAGCTGTGCTGATCTTCCCTTATTCCTAATATCTTTTCCTTTTGAGGCTCAACAGAATCTTCAGGAGTTGTTCTTCGGACACAGTTCTCTGTTCTGATTTGATTTGACTCTCTTATTTTTTGAAGTAATGAACTCTTCCCAGTAAGCATCCTGCAAACACACAGACATTTAGATGCATTAGATCAGTATGAATAAACCTGGTATTGAATATCTATAAAAAATAAGAAAAGACAATTAAGGTATGTCTAATCTTCCACTCTGTAAAATGAACTATGAAACACTGAAACAAAGACTTTCACTTTTTTAAATTTAACATACTTGAAAACATGAGAACCTTTCTTCAGCCCACTTTTTATATAGTCAATTTATTGAAGACTGATATTTCTGGAAGAGCATACCCATTTCTTCTGGCTGCTTCCAGCTGTGTGTTTCCCACTCTTTCTGTGGACAGGCCTTGCTTCAGTAGGTGGTTGCTGGTTTGGTCTGATGGGCTGGTAGGTGCTGGTTTGGTCTGATGATCATGGTTGCGCAAATCAATATATATAGTGGGAGAATTGTAATTTTTCTGACGCAGATCTACTGCAATATCATTACAATCAACTGTCCATCCATCAGTTCTACTGTGGAACAAACAACAAAAACCCATTTGAGTCATAATTAAACATATAATAATTAATACATATATATTAAATAGATTACAAATTATTTAGATCATAGTATAAAAAGTACCTTGTTGTTGCTAGATTACTTATATGAGGATGCTGAAGTTTGCTATGGATTTCCTCAGAAGAACTGGTCATTTTTGTGTCCACTTTCTTAGATGCCTGCTTCTCGCAGAAAGCAGCCAACTGATCCATTATATTACTCTCTGGTCTTTCATTGGCATAATCTGTAATCCAATAGAAATATTAATCCCTTACAGTCATGAATGTACATGGTTCATCAGAACAAGGAAACTGATACACGATAAACTGGGAAGTTGATAAAGTGACAAAGACAAAAGTACAAAAATCAAACCTGTATATTTAAATGGTCGAAAAAGCATTGGCTCTCCTTGTTCTCTGGTGTCTTTGCAATAGCCAGTGTGTTGCTTTAGAGATTGAAGAACCTGATCCAGATCCCAGTTCTCCAGAGGCTGTTGAGAGAAACAGTGCTGTTTTCAGAATATGCATGGAGTTAGAGCTTTAGATTGACTCTGATGAGTAAAGCGCACAATTAAACTCACCTTCAATGACAAAATGGGGTACGGTTGTGGATGTATCTCACAGTTTTCTCCTGCAGATGTCTGAAGTAACTTTTCACTTTCAGGGTTTGTAAACTCAGGTGATGTGCACTCTCCTTCATCTGTGCTCATATCAGAGTTATTCTTTTTCTGTTCATGCACAAGGTTAAGCTTTTCGTCAGTTGATTTTGAGTGGTCCACAGATTCACTAGGGAGGCTTTCTGTTTCAGTTGTGTTGATAATGTCCATCTCCAAGTTATGCCCTGTAGCGACTAGGATCTTGTGGTCATTATGCTCTTTAGGGAGCAGAGGCGTGTCATCATCTTTCTGGTCACAGAAGTCAACACCAGTCCCATACATGAATGGTTCTGTAACTGATTTGAGCAGATCCTGTTTCATCAGAAAGAAAACATTAGGACTAAGATAAAGACTAAGAACTCTCTCTCTTTATTTCTCTCTCGCTCTCTCACATACAGACACAGACCTCAATTTCAGGTTCACCTAATGACAGGTAATCCAGGTCAACTTCTGCCCCTTGAGGCAACTTGAAGAGTGACGGTCGCCGGTAAACAGATATCTCCTCTTCATTGTCCGACTGCAGAATACAACACTGTGCTAGTCATGCACCCTTAAAAATTGCTCTTTCAAAGGTTATTTAGTAAAGGTAATTGTTATTTAGCTACAGAACCATGAACAAGAAAAGAACCATTTATGTGGCTCTATATATGGTTAAATCGTTCTTCTCTTTGACAAATCTGTTGAATATGGCTTTCTAAAAAAGACAACAAAAAAGGTTCCCTTATTGATACAAGTTACATAGCTAAAGGGTTCTTTATAGCTAAACCCTTTTGCACAGAGTATACATGTACATCTGTTTGAGCTTCTTAAGTGTGTTTTATGACAAAATAATGAAACAAACATATGTATACTGAGTTTACTATGTAATACCAAAGTGCTGCACAATTTAAAATAGAAAGAGAGAAAAAAAAATGTTGCGCTCTTAATTTGGTTCAGGGTATTTTCCAAAGCTTGGCTGTTTAGCACAATGTAGGTAAACTAACCTATAAACCACCATAAGTTTAAACAGTTTAACTCTTAATTGTATTAAATTTCAGAGGTTAGCCTGAACTATTAGCTGCCAATACCAAGTTATAAACAAAAAATAAAGCTTGTTCTACCTCAGTTAGCTAGTTAGCTAACCTAGCTAAGGTTAGTTAACGCTAGCAGAGTTAAACATCATAAGCTTAAGCACTTAACTAGCTGACTTAACCTAGCTAACCAGCTAACAACGGTAAATAACGTATCATTTACTTACTGAAGAAGATGCGTCAGAGTCAATTGTAGGAACCTGAGATTTCATCCTGTCAAAAAAAGAACTATTATGCATTTTTGCTTGCAGTCTGAACTGCTAACTAGTTTGCTAGTTTGCAAATACTGGCTAAGTTTGTTTGAAGCCATCCAGACTCAGCGGTTGTCATGGAGACGGGAGCTTCTTACCCGGACACAACACACCGTCCGTCAATGGTCTGTGAAGCAGGTTTACAGTCACTGTCGAAAGAAAAATGCACTTATTTCTGTAGGCAAAGTTTCTTCCTTGTCGAATGATAGAGTTTATGATGTAGGCACCAAAAATGAAACTCCCTAAAAGGTGGTGAGATATTCGCCAGTTTCTTGTTTCTGCTTCCCCGTTCCACGTTAAACAGGACGGCAGTTAACTTACATTCTGGTGGCCGAGGCTGACCTTTATCGAAATGTCAAAGTAAATACTATGTGAATTTCAAAGCAGCCAAGTCATGGTATCTAGTAAACTGCTAGAGAATGGGCTAAGCTTCTTGTGCGAATTTTCCCGTTCCACCTTAAATGGTACAGCAGTTACATTCTGGCGGAGAAACACGCAGGGAGAGAAGTGTTCGTGGTTGAGTCTGTGCGTGTATGAGTGACGGGGCATTTTCATTTGTAGGATCTGCTCTTGTTAGTGTGCCATGGCGTCAGTCAGAACTGTGAATGATCTACTCTTAAAGGGTAAATCCAAAGAACCTTTTGAGATTTTCAAAGTGTCTGCATAATTCAGCCGTTGAGATGTTTACAAAGTTGTTCAGAGTGGTTTGCTGTGAAACAGCTAGTTGTGCACAAACTTACTGACTCAGATTTCTTTACAGTGGTGGTGATAGGAACCAGGGGTCACAACGTCTACAACACAAATATGGATATTCAATTTATTATCCAAAACGACCTAAACCTACGTGTGTCACCTGGGTTTTTACATGCAATGTTGATAATGGTAAAATAGTGCTAAATCTGAAACATTTTCTGTGGGGGGCTATTTTGCCTCAAAACACTCAGCATGTACCCCTCCACCATGAATTTTCACCAGATAAAAAAAACAAAACAAAACAAACAAACAAAAAAACAAACAAAACTCAACTATCATAAAACAAAGTCGGAGGCATCAGGCAGCGTATTTATAACCATTTCATGTGTGTGAGGTAGCTTTTAAAGGCATTAAATGCTTCAGACGTCTGGTTCCCATCATCACCACTGTGAACAATTTTGACTCTAGAATGGAGCATCTGCAATAGAGCATTTTACATCAAACCACTCTGAATGACTATTTACATCTCGATTAAATTATGTAATTAAACAAAAGTCATATAAAGGGTTCTTTATAAAACCCTTTTGCTAAGAGTTAATTAAACGTTCTATGACAAAATAATGAAACAAATACATAGTGAGTTTATTATTTTATATTGAAGTACTGCGCAATTTAAAATAAAGAGAGAACCTACCAAAAAAGTTGTTGCTGTTAACTTAATGGTCTTTTTCAAAGCGTGGCTGTTTAGCACAATGTAGGTAACCTATAAACCACCATAGGTTTAAACAGTTTAATAAAGCTCTTTACTTCAGACCACTCTGAATGACTATTTATGTCATGATTGAATTATGCACAAATTTGGAAAAGTTGATCAAATACCCCTTTAAACTAGCAACAGTGTGCAGTAACATTTGCATGTATAATCCTAATGTGAATGTACAAAAAATGCCTTTGAACTAAATACAAAGATTGGTATTGTTTCTGTGTCCCTATTTGGTCTATGTTTGTCAAGCTCAGCATGTGCACGCTGTTCTCTCTCTCTCTCTCTCTCTCTCTCTCTCTCTCTCTCTCTCTCTCTCTCTCTCTCTCTCTCTCTCTCTCTAATATTTATTTAGAGAACAAAACCAAACACAATCTGTTTATTCTGAAAGATACATCTGATGTTGGGTGAACAGTTGCTCACTAAAAGAGTTTATATGAAATACCTAAGTAGATTTGCATTTTTCATGGCATTAATCCTAAAATAATTAATTCTGAACACGAACCTACATCTCAGCCTTACCCTAGCACATTTGAAGAAGAATACTTTCAATGAGAGCACTGAGTAAACATAAACCTTTGACAAGTAGCCTATTGTAGGCTGTGTCCTCTATCGCTGATAATGATTAAGCAAGAGGGAAGCTCGGGGCACAAAATATTGCACGTAGGACCTATAATGAGACTCACTGTTAAGTGTCTAACACAGTCATTTTTATTTGAAGTCAACAGACTTGCTCTTAACATACATGAACATAAATCATGATTTGTTATTTCCACAACTTTTGATTTAAGAAGATATACAATACATGAGAAGATAGTACAGTTGTAAAGCCATTTGAAAGGAAATTTGAATATTCACAGTTGATTATAGTAATATTTTGTCATGCTTGCAGAAGCAAGCTTGAAAACTTGTCTCAACCACACTTCCACTCAAAAGACTTAGCAGTCCTTAAAGTGTTCGCTGCTGACATCTCGCAGGTCTACTCCAGCAATGTTGGGTGGGCTGGTACATGTGATGTTATTATAGATTGTGATAAGTGTGTGGGGCTCCTCACCCTCTGACAGGGTCTCCACCTGCCGTGGAACCACAAGCGGCTTCTGCAAGCTGAAATCCCTAAAAGGTTTAGCACTGCAGTCACATTTCCAGTTGTTACCTGATAGCCAAAGCTGGTCTAAACCATCAGGAATGGACGGAAGGGTGCTGAGTGCATTGTCCCTCAGGTTAAGGTAGCGCAGCCGTGGCAGCATGTAAAGTGTAGCATTAAGAAGAACTTCCAACTTATTTCCAGAGAGGTCTAGCCAAGATAGGTGCTGCAGTGGCAGAAGTACTTCTGAAGGAAACTGACGGAGGAGATTGTTGGACAGAAGAAGGTAGTCAAGACTCTTTAAGCCATAGAAGGTATGCGAGGAGAGGGATGCCAGTTTGTTGAATCTCAGGTCAAGCTGTTGCAGTCGTTGGAGCTCCACAAAACTCTGACGGTCCACCACAGAGATGTTGTTGTGTTGTAGGAAAAGTCGACGTAGACTTGTCAGACCAATAAAACCTTGGGTGGACACTTTGGTCAAACAACCTTTGTCAAGATGAATGCTGTGGAGCTTTGACAGGCCTTTAAAAACCTGGTCTGGCAGGGTGCGGAAACAACTACCGGTGAGCTTAATTACCGCCAGGTGACTAAGGCCCATGAAGGAGCCCATTCTTGCCTCTTGTAACCTGTTGTGTTCTAAGCTGAGCATCTCCAAATGGCCCAGTCCTTCAAAAACTCTCTCTCCTAAGACCCGAATCTGGTTGTGGCACAGTCCGAGTTCTTCAAGATACTGCAGGTCACGAAAAGTACCTGGCCTTAGGCTGTTTATTGAGTTGTTTGACAGTCGAAGTACATGCAGGCTATGTAGGCCAAGGAAGGTCTCGTCGTGGAGAACAGAAAGTCGATTCCTGCTCAGATCCAGCCACCTCAAGGATTTCATGCCCACAAATGCTCTAGGTGCCACTGACATAATCTGATTTTGGGCAAGATAAAGCTTCTGCAGCTTTGGAAGTTTCACAAACACATTTGCTTTGATAACTCTCAGCTGGTTTCCAGTTAAATCCAGCTCCTTTAGCTCCGTAAGGCCCTGGAACAGCTGAGTCTGAAGGTAAGCCAAGCGATTCCCAGCAAGCACCAACTCTCGTAAGCCATGTAGCTCCTGAAATCCAGTTTCTGGAAGAACTGAAAGGGAGTTCCATCCTAGATTCAGTAACCACATATGAGAGAGTCCAGCAAACAACTTGTCATCTATACGTGATAGCTGATTGTTGTGGAGATTGAGGGAAGCAAGGTTTGGGGTGCTTTGGAAGATGGTGGCAGGCAGCGAACGGAGGCTGTTTCGCTCCAGGTGCAGGTGAGCAAGAGTGTGCAGTCCTCTGAACACCTGAAAGTCGAGGCTTACCAGCTGGCCACTTTGCAGATTCAAGAAGTCCAGATTGCTCAGATTTTTGAACGAGTCTGCCGGCAGGGTCGTAAACAGGTTTCCGTCCAGCCATAAAGATCGTGTTGACACAGGGATGTCGGGAGGTGCCTGTGTCAGGTTCCGTGAACTGCAGTAGACGCTGAGCTCTGAGGTGTAGTCATCATTGAGACAGGCGCAGCTCTTTGAGCAGGGAATGGATTCCTCCGTGGGCTTTGCTTCCTCTCCCCACACAAATGATGTTCCTAGTGCCCATACCAATGATGTTCCCAGTGCCCATAATAACACCAGTGTAGAGAACTGCATCCCTGTTAGGGAAAAGAACAGTTGTAACACTTATTGAGATGTTACTGCTGAAAGATCTCTCGACAAATTTTAATGACTTGAATGTGTCTTTACATGACCTTGTTCTAATTATTACACTGCCTTTTCTGATTTTCTAAAGCTTTCTTATACGTCTGCCCTCTAATTTTAAATATTCACCAGTTAAAAAAGTGAATCTGCAAAAAGTTTAGTTTCGTTTAAAATAGCATACATTGGTTTTACCTGTTCTCTCTGTAGTTTCAGACAGTCCGGCAGGCTTTCACTAGAAGGGTGACATGAGTATGTGAAAAGATTGGTCTGCCTCTGGCCGTATTTCACTCCAGAGAAAGCCAGACCCACAGAGCAGAGGAACAAAATTAACCTCTTCTTGCCTGTGCTGGTATGCAAACAGCTGTGCTTTTGTTATGTGTATTCACTTTAGTTTTACTTTATTATGCATGTTATCAAGTTAAGTCACAGTCTTACATGTTAACACTAACTTTCATATTTTTACAGTTCTGTGTCATCTATTCTTAGTTTTACTAAGTTTTAGTGATGTGTAAGCTGGTTCATTGTAAACACTTTTTAATCTCTGCAATAAAAATCTTTCGCAGTTCATAAGCCTGCCTAGACTAAATTTGACTAAAGCTGCAGTTGCAGTGCCCTGTCCTGTCTAAAAGCTAGAACTGTGTTTGTAGTAAATAAAATAGGTATCTTAAAGGAAGGAAGGATTTTTTTCAGCATATTCTCTGACATTTGTAGTTAAACAGACCCAAATTTGATGACAAATCTGACTGTGCAGTTCAGTTTACATCAATGAAGGACAAATACCATTCTTAATCTAACTCACTCCCCAAACAGACAACAGACAGGCAAACAGACGATGTGGTCAGACTTCCAATAATCCACAAACTTGGACATGTTCCAAGAGATAGCAAAATTTGGACAGGGACGCCTACATTTAAAGCAGATGCATGTGGACTTTGGAACACCATTGAGAGAACGGCATGGTATTCAATTCAATTTCTCTTGTGAGCCATATTGTGAATACAACTATTACAATATTAACTTTTTAACATGTTTGGAATGAAGATATTGATTTGAAAGACATTTAGATATGTTGTATCTTATACAAGATATTTGAATGTCTAGAGGTCTACTATATATATCTTTGGAATGCTGGAATGAGGTATTTTATAATAGACAGATTCGTAGTTAGTAATTATAAATCCACATTTTTTTTCACAAGGAACTGTTTAAAACCTAGACGTCTCTTAAGATGCATAATCATCAAATAAACAATAGAGGGCAGTGTAGCCTTTTATATCCAACCCTGCTGAGTTTGGAAACTTTTAGGAAATCCATGAATGCTTCAGGATGAATTCATCAAGTATTATCGTCATGAGGCTAAAGAATTGTAGCTCATGTTGGTTTTGAACATAAAACGTACTTTCAAACACTTTC